AGGTGAAAATCAAGATATCAAAAACATCACTCCAGTCAATAAAACACATATGAAAATGTTGCAAATGATGAGTAGTCATCGAAAATATCATTTATTCTAATTGGAAATATCTCTAATATATACTTGGAAGTCAACTCTCCCTCAAATGAACAAGTGAATCAGCCAAGTTGCCAATCTCAAATTAAATCATATAATCATGTTCCACATCTCAAATAATGTATATAATTCAGTTTTTAGACATTTTGGTAAATATTCCATCATTCACTAAGGTAAAGGGTGACTTATCAAGGTTGACTTGGAAAGTTAAGGAGGAAATCTTCAAATAGAGAACTACATCCTCAATCAACAAAATACATATCAATCGATTGGAAATCGATAGTAAATCTCGAAAATATCATTTATTTTATGATTTGAAATCTCTCCGTTACCTCTTTTGGTCAATTAAGACAATTAAGGATGATACTATAGGAAAAATTACCAATCTCAAAATAAATGATAATATCGTGTTCCACATCTCAAATAAAGTGGACTTTCTTCAAATTATATAATTTCATTTCAAGAAATGCATCCAGTAGATAGTACATGGTGATATTTCAATGGCATGGCTGCAAATCTGAAAGATATAGAAACAACTCCATTTTCACTGAAATTAATACCATGATATGTAGACACTCTAATTAGCATATGATATCAATTTCATGAATATTGGTTCAGTAGATATTGAGTTGTCAACTCTATCATTTTACTATAGAACTTTGACATAAAATCAAAGATTATGCTCCAACTCACTTATTTTATATGAAATTAGTCTAGAATTGATAACACACATTATATACATCATTTATATACATCCATATACGTATTGAAACAATTCATGAAACTTACATTCAGTCAATCAGTAAATGTTCAATGTCAAGAGTGATTATATCCAAGTGTACACTCTATCTCAATGAAAGTACATCCTATTATCGTGTAACTTTACCATGTACGTTTAGTCACACTGATATACAACTGGTATCATTTTTAGTGTTTTAGAATCGAATTCAATATGATAATAATAACAATCTGTCAAATTGTCATATTTCAACATATAGAATATACTCCATCTCATTCATTTTTCAAAATATCATACAAGTATCAAATATGAATACACTTCCCTAGATGAGGAGAACAATCTGAGAAAGTTTCACATTCATGGCTCAGTATCTTAAATTCCACTAACTTACCTTAGAAGAAGGTTTACGTTCCATCTCAGTCATTTCATAGAGTTATTGATCAATTCCAACAACAGTATGTTACTCACACATTATAGTACAATTCATGTTTCAAGAGTGATTTCTATGATAAAGTTGATGGAAGTGAGTGCCAAATGGCACTTTCACTTCCAATATAGTAGTAAGCTTTGTTAATCCTTTCGATTCTGAGCCATTTTCACATCAACTTGAATCTATTTTTAACTTTTCCGCGCGTTTTTCGGTTTGATCAACCGGCAAAAATAATTTTGATCAAGTGATTTTATTGCCACTAGCCACCATCATAACTTGATATATATAAATATTTAACAATTTCACATCAGCCGTATATTGTGCCCCATTACCATCACCATCTTTTGACATCATTTGTGATATATATTGTTAATGTATTTAAGGAGAAAAGCTTAATAAATAGGGGTTGACATGGGATCCTAACACTCTAGATATTTGACATGATATCATAGATTATACTCCAAATCACTCATTTTACATATAACAAGTCTAGAATTGATATCACATAGTCTATATATCAATTAAATACATCTACAATAGTTAAGAAACATTTCAAACTATTTTCATAAAATTAATCAGTAAATGTTCAATATCTGTACACAAACTCCCTCCGCTTTTTTAACGGGATCCCAACTTTGATGACCCACAACAGAATAGTTACTTAGTGATTCATCATAATTTAACTTATATGGTGTGCGCCTGTATGTTAACTATCATCAGAATTGTTTTCAGCAGTTTATGTGTAGTAGGTCGATTGAAAACCTCAATTGAGTGAAAACATATATGAAAATTTCAAAATCCAATAAAACCAGAACCAGTATATGCCAAGCTCCAAATATCGAGATATGTACTCAAAACATCTTGAAATATAACCACAATCATTGGTTTGTTGATATTTATTGTCTGGACAAAGATATGCAGGGTTAAAGTTGAGCTATTTTTCAAACTCAACTCAGTTGAAGTGGAACTGAAATGGAAGGTTGTTTCGGACTGAGTACCAAATAAGCAAATAAAGTCCAACAACAAATATTTAAAAAATTTAAGTTTTATTATTGTTTCTACAACCAAAACAATATTGGTTGTAGTTGTATGTTCAGGAACACAATATTCACCAATGGGAATGTCTTCCTCCTCCATGAGAACCATAACAGGTCATTCAAAGAGAACTGTGATGAGAGCAGAAGTGGCAACAACCATGTGAACGGAAGATAGCTTCCTGTATTGCTTGCAAGTCTTATCTGGTAGTGTGGTGGGGCATGATGAAGAGAAAGGACCTTGCTAGAGGAGATGTGGTATTGCCCGTAACACGTTGCCTATTTTTTTGTTGATGTTGTTTGTTGAAGAGTGGAAATTAACCTGTAAATTAGAATTTGTTAAATTTTTAATGTAACGGTTTTCAAGCGCGCTTGGAAGTAAAATGGAGGATCCTGTCAAATTATGAGGGATCCCGTTAAAAAAGCCGGTGAATCCCTTCAACAGATATCAACATTATATATATCCTAGTGAACACTCCATCTCAGTGAAAGTTATTCCAATCATTCTGTAACTTTACCCAATACGTTTAGTCACACTATTTTACATCTGGTATCAATTTCATAGTTTTAGAATTGAATTCAATATGATAATAATAACAATCTTTCAAAATATCACATTTCAAAAAAGAGATTACACTCCATCTCAGTCAGTTTACAAAATATCATACTAGTATCAAATATGAATACACTCCTCTTGATGAGGAGTACAATCTGAGAAAGTTTCAAATTGATGGCTCAGTATCTTCAAGTCACCTAAGTACCTTAGAATAGACAAGTCAATTAAGTACATCAAGTCAACAATTGAAAATTGAAAAATAGTATATTTATTACAAATTAATAAGACTCTTCTAAATAACTATATTGTTTAAATCAATATTTGTAAAGTTGTCAATACATCATGTCACAGATCATACTCTATATCAATGAATACTTGGCTAAATCAATTGAAATTGACATAGAGTTGTTTATATGTAGTATTATATATGTGGTATCAATATCTTTTAAAATTGTCAAGTATTAAGGAAGATCTAAAAAAATAAGGTGGTAATAATGAATAAGTTAGTAAAATCACCTTGAATCGATCACTCGTCCCTTAATTGACGCTCCAACATACAACCACCGAACCAACAGTGCTATAGCTTTAATTTCTAGAAATGCTTTATATGAAGAACCCAGTGGTTGTATGACCATTAAGGGGGAATTGTCAGCTTCTATTAAGAACAACAATTAACAACAAACAACAACAAGAATTGTATCATTATATGATAATAACAATAATTTATTAAACAATATGAAAGGGAGAAGTTGCTCCCTCACCAAATGATGGAAGATTCAACTTGATGAACAAGAGATGGTACCTCCACCATCTACTTAAATTCAGTATCATTGAAGATTATCCTGATGATCTTGATAAATAGATTCATACATCGGAAAAGTGTTGGAAGCAGAGTAATTTGGCGTTGTATTTTGATAATCGTAATATTTTAAAGGGTTAAAAATGGAGTTGATTAATGCGATTATCAAAATAATGGCTTTAAATCCATGGCTATTAGCACTGCCAACAAGCAAATAACTTGTGGAGTGAGAAGCATTACCACTTCCACCTTCTAAATAATATTAATAAATATTATGTTCAACACAGCTATTAAGCAACAGAAAATTAACAAGTTTAACACCAATTCAAATACAAAATACTCAACAATTACTGAATTAAATGCAAATGTCCCAACGTCATTTTGTAGAGAATTAAGTTGAACCTATGCGATTTTTCACCTTTTGCCAAATGGTTGCGTATCTAGCAAGCCCAAGAGAACAAAAAACACAGAAATATCGAGGTAAAACGAGTTGATTATCTCCATTATTTGATAGCAACCAATATTAAAATTATATATCAGCATGTAGCCGTGAACATTTCCTATCTAATGATATATATTGATGTATATGAAGTCTTATAAATAATGATGTTTTAAGAGCGCAGATTAATATCCCAACCCTGTGACAATTACATCCAACCCAATATTTTCCATCATTGGTTTGCTGCTTCAGAACAAAAAATTACAAATTAAGGTGGATTCTTCACATACAGTCACTTTTGCCATTATGGTAATAAACCAACTCAAATAAGGATGAATCAATATTGTTTACTGGAATTGCCATAAAACATTTTTCAGCGAAACTCTTTCCTGGAAAGACCAGAGGAAAAATCTTTCCAGCTACAGTACTGACCTTTATATATCTATCAATACAAGAAATGAAAATATCAAATTTACATTATTAATAGATGATAAGAATTATAATCAATGATATAAATCTTCACTAAGAAATCTCTTAAATAACCCAAACAAATCAACTCTGAATCCTAACCAAACCTCATCTCGCATAGAGTGGATCCAAATATATTAACAAAAGTGATATTTTACTTGTGAATCAGTTAGTTTATTCCAAGTCAACTCTCATTTGTTTTGCAAAGTTAACCTTTAAATCCTTCTGTTTCAAAAAGTCATCATATAATTGGGAAGTTATAAATCTTGAGAATGTATCTTCCATATTCAATTCAATCTGTGCTTGCAAATCATTGAAACAATCAGCAATTTGCTTTCTCAATCCTCCCTCAGACGAATCCATCATTTCCAAATCCTTATTTTCAACATTCACTTGCTTGTACAAGAGTATGAATTTCTTTCTGGTCGTTGATGGCACATTCACTTCACAAACAGCATTCGAAACCATGAATAAATCATGAATATTTTTCAAAAAGTCTGAAATTCCATCCAAATATCTTCCACTTGTGAATAGTTCATTATTCAATAGATAGTCATAGAGATAAATATTTTCAGTTGAGAATTCTGATTGACAGAATTTTTCAAATACTTGACGTGCATCTTGATCTTGCAAGAATATTGACAACTTGGAAATATTTCCAATCTTGTCCAAGTTGACCTTCTTTTGAATGTATAATTTGAGAAGGATGAGTAAGGAGAAACCACCAAATACCAAAACATAACAGAATTGATACAAAACTTCCATAATAAATACAGCAACATCATATTTGAGTGCTGTATCATAAACAGTAGTTCCCTTAAATCTATATTCATTACTGGTCAACCCAAGAGATTGTTGAACAATTAGCAAGGCAAAGTAAACCAAATAAATAGCCATTTCAGTTCTAAAGAATAGTGGAGAATCTAATGAGAAAACTTGAACTCCAGCTCTGCTGACCTTTCCCTTAATATTCGAAATTCTAATTGTGGTCTTCTTTCTTAATGAATTCAAATCGGTTGATCCCATCGATTCCAAATTTCTGAAACCTCCTCTACTTCTCTTTCTATAATAAGAAACTGAAATGTCAATAATTGCCACAAGTGAAATAATGATACTAAAAAGGAAGATAATGACAGTGTATGAAATGGACACAATATATGTATAGGTTTGTGCAGGAATGACATTGGTTCTCACTAAAATTACCCACAAAGTCCAATACAAAATATTCAAAATTGCAAATGAAATGATTATTGACATGAATACACGAGCAGATGTCAAAACCTTCAAAAATCTGAATCTTACTGAACCTTTCGGTTTGTGTGTTGAGATTTTTCCATATAAAAGTTTGAGTAATTCAAATCTCACAACTTGAATCACATAGGAAAGAATTGCTGTCAAATTCAAAGTGTTTACAATGATCATTGTAACGTTACCAACAATATTCGCAGAATTTTGTTCTTCTTCCCAAATATTGGTATTTGTTTGGAATAAATAGTCAATTAGGACAGATCTCTGAACTATGGAAATCAAAATACTTTCTGTCAGTAAAGCAATCATTCCCAAATAAGGTGTAATTAATCTGGACGAAACTGGTTGCTTATTTCTGAAAATAATCAACATGACCAATACGAAACCAGAAAGTAATGTAAACACCACACCAAATGCAATCTCAGCATAGTACAGTTTGGAGATTTCCACAGCTTGTGCAATGGTTGGACTTGATTTGTCATTAGTTCCTGTAACATTAGTTTGTTTGTATTCGATAAATGTGGAAAATTTTGTTGTGTGATTGGAGCTACAGTTGACTTGATTAGCAGTCAATCCAATGAATAACATTCCCTTAGTCTTCCAATTTTTACAGGTTTCGTCCCAAAATTTACAAACAATTTCAGTTTCGTTAGTAAACTTGGTAAATTCTTCTTTGGAAATTGCCAAATTAAGAACGATAGGATCTGCTAAATCAGAAAGTTTTGTCAAATTATAGTTTTGATAATATTTAAAATCAATAATTGAGGATGCTGTCTTGTTTCCATTAGCATCTACATTCTTGGCATAGGTGACAGATGACAATCCAATGACAGCATTTGTACCTCCAGTTGACTTGGCAATACTTGCAATATTCAGTACAACACTACTGTTAAATCCACTTTCCAAAATATTTTTCACAACTGGAGTACTGACAGGTGTGGAATCTGGATTAGTCTGACTGGCAGATGTCTGAGAAGAATTGGATGGAGCTGTAGTGGTCTGTAACACAATCGTAGCAACAGTTGTGACAATTGCTGGACTTGAATATGTTTCACTTGGAATGGTAACTTGAGTTTCAGTAGTAGTTGCGGAGGTACTCGTGTTATTCTTATTCGAATCATCAGAAGATGTTGATCCAGTGGAGCTTAATACAGTTGGAACTTGTCCTTTCATAACTAGAGTATTAAAAGTTGTCAATGTTTGCTCGACAGTTTCTTGAACAGTGACAGCTGGCGTGGAAGGTGAAGAACTTGAATCAGTTGTTGAAGTGTTAGTTGAGGTATTGTCTGTACTAATGATATTCGACAAAACTTGCAAAGTACTTGTCAAGACTTCGGTAGAAACCTTTGATTTAACATAACCATAAGTATTCAGCTCAACTGTGTAAGTGTCAACAACGTTTTCCATGTAAGTATCAACTTTCTTGGTGACTTCTGTTACAATCTCAGTGGTAACCTTCTCAGTTTCCTTAGTTAGAACATTCAAAGCTGAAAGAGCAGTTTCGGCATTTTCTTGACTAATCTCAATAGCAATGACTTTTTGTAAAATAACTTCTGGAGTAATCTCAATTGACTGATCATACAAGAGAACATTCTTCAACTCGTAACATGTTGAATTCATTAAATCTGCAGTCGAATTAGGATAAGAAGTTACAATGACACTTCCAATTGAGTATTCTTGAAGATTTCCATTAACATCTTGGACAAATGCAATAATTGGAAGAGAATCGTTGGTTACGAATGGAAGCGGAAAGGTTATATCACTAACCGTCGTGAATTGTGTAATTCTAATAGATTTTTGTAAAGTAGGATGGAAGAAACCATAAGCAAACGAAAGTGGTTGTAATTGGAAATCAGCAATCCAACCACTTGATGAAATATTGAATCTTGTGGCAATAGCAACACCTGTAGATGGTTCAATAGTGATGACATCTGGTATTTTAGGTAAACTCAAAACAGGAATCTCAATAAATGTAAAGAAATTTTGTAAACCATTTCTGAAATTCAAATCAACCGTAATTTTTGTAATATCCAATGACTCTAAACTCACAACAGTGCTCAGTGACAATGGAGGTGACAATAAAATTCCAAATTGATTTCCATTTCCGTTCAACATTCCATTTGAAGATTTCAATAATTGAGTGCTTGATAAACTTCTCAATTTGATTGAGTAACTATAACTGAATGAACAATCTTGATAGAGACAATTGAAATCTGAAACTTGAGAATAATCAGATAATGTAATATTGGAAATAATTGCTGATAATTGAACTTGTTTGGAGGTGTGTAGGTAATAAGTTGGTATTCCATAGGATTCTAGAGATTGAACTGCTCTGAATGTTTGGGAGGTAACCTGTACTACAAAGTCAAACAATTGAGATTTGATGGAAGTGTCAATTGTTGTACCATAAAGTGTAAAATAATAGCTACCAGTATTGACATTTGAAAAGTCCAATGAGAAGGAATCAGTACTTTGGAATGTAGTTACCAACTCACAATTCAAACATATTAATGTAAACATTAAGTTTTGAATTGGATATTCTGTGGCAGTGACAGTAGCTGTCACAACTTGTGAATCACCCTTGACAATTAAGGTAGATGATAAGGCTGCTGAAACATGGTAGATTAAAATATTTTGACAAACTGAACCTCCGTAAATAGGAATACAAGAACAAACATCAGGAGCTGAACATTGACCATGCCCAGAACAAACAACATCTGACACTGAGGAATTTCCATAACAATTGAAGGATTGACATACGTCTCCATAATAACCAGCTTGACAGAAACATTTGGTAGATGTCAAGGCCAATCCACCATGTGTACATTGATTAGAGATAGTTTGAGGAACATCATCGCTCAGTAACATACTCAAACTAAACTGGAATGAAGTTTCTAATGATTCTGAATTGTAATCATAGAAAGAAAGCTTAAACTGATAAGCACCGGCAATATCATAACTATTAAAACTTCCTTCAAGTGAATATTTCGAATAATTGTAAAAGTTTCTATCAAAAAAATGTTCGAAAGAATTCACAGAGAAACTCTGCACAATAGAACTTGTGGAATTTGTGTAAATTAAACTGCTAATCTCAAAATGGCTCTCCAGATATAAATCAACATTGACTTTTAGATTGGAATCGAATGAAACTTGGAAATTATTTGGATAGACTGAGAAATCAAAGTTTTGATTGTCAACAGTCAAAGATTGTGAAATACTTTGAGTGATCATCCACAAGTTAACACTCACAGTCGCATTGTATATATAGTTATAACACAAATCACCATGAAAATGACCATCTTGATCAACATATTGAGCTGACAGCGAAATGTCAAGTTTCCAATAATTTCCAAAGGTTGTCTTTCTCACTGACGAACTTTCCAACAGTGTACTCAAAGGAATATAATTAGATGTATACGATTGTGTCAGCTCAGTGTCATTCTTTTCTAAAAGTGTCAATTTGATAGATTTCTCTTCATGATAATTCATACAACCTGTCAAATCATAACCAGAATCATCAGAAAAGAATAACTGATGAGTGTACACATCTGATCTTCCATAATAGGCAATAAACTTAATACCACTTCCATCTGGTGAAATAATTCCAGTAATGTTCACATTAGGATAATAATCAATGTCCATAGTTGAGTTGGTTGAGTTATTGTTTGTGGAATTATTGTCAATGATTTCTTCGTAGAGTTTGAAGAGTTCTCGTTTGTGAGTGGTACTTGGTTTGGAATGTTGTATTTCGTCTGAATCGTCCATGATAGTTTTCAATTTGTTATTCGAATCGACCATACGAAGAGAACCAGTTCGTGAAATGTAGAAAATTTCTTCTTCGCCCCAAACTGGAGAAACTCTCAACTTCATAACATCTAGGAAGGCATGTTTAGCAAGAGTTTCGTCTGGCGATTCATCGTGATACTTGTTCAATCTCCCACCAATAATATCAAAAGTCAAATCTGGTTGAATTCTCTTAATAAAAGTTCCATCAGAACAATAAATTATTCCATGTTTGATGTCAAATGTAAAATAACCAAAAGCTGTTTACAAAGTTCAGTAATAATACAATTATTCGAAACTTACTTCCTTTCACATCACGAATAGTACCATCTTCAATCTTTCTAATCAAATTTGTTCTGTAATCGTAGAAATAAATGGTTTCACTCATTGCGTCTTGAGCCACATGTCCAGGTCGAATACATTCGTCATCATTAGTTTCGTCCTGACATTCATATTTGCTTCCAGCGAGAATGACTTTGTATCCTGAAAGTAAACGTTTCTTGATGTGATTTCCAGTCGAGTAAATAATTTCATCATATTCAGTCATAAAAAAACTCTGAATTGTTTCTACACTTTCCTCTACAAGAATTGACGAATCTCCAAATAAACTAAGCGAACGAATTTGTGTCTTGTTGTGAAGATAAAGCACATGTTGATTCTCCCCGCTTCCATCCACCAACTCTGATATTTTACATGCCTCTCCACATTCAAATCTTGCAACAATATTGTTATCCTTTAGTTTACGAATTTCTTCTCTATTCGAAACCAATAATTGTCCTTCTTTAGAGAATGTGAAGGTGGTGGCAGTTGACTCCACATGGCTGTGCACCAACAACACCAACAACCAAGAAAATACAACCAAGATGCTCAAACAATTGCTTGCCATATTTTTTGTTTGTTAAATTATAACGAATCGTCTGCTTTCGAATATTTTTTCATCTTTCCCCAACTTTCAAGAGACCATACTTCTTTAAAAGGCTTGTAACTCAAAAAATATGAGTTCAAATAATTTATGACATTTGTTAGTGACATGCCAAACATGACAAGCAAACTAAAGTTTCTATTGAAGTATGTCATCATATCAACGGTATTGATAGAATTTTGATCTTGTTCATTTGTGTTCACCTTGTTTTTAATACCTTGACAACTCATGTGAAAATCTGTTATAACAAATATGATGTTTGATATCTATTGGTTTTTTTCTATTTAAATGGTTGTATTAAAAGACAGATTGAATTTATATTAAAAATATTGGGAAATTTCCTAAACTGTTCAATATCTTGGCAAAAAGTCAAAAAGTTGAATCTGGATGCGTCGACCGGGAATTGAACTTCCTTTTTTGGAATATTATATTTAATATTTAAATAGTTTACAATATTGAATAATGAAACAATGTGTACATGTGTTGAAGTAGGGTACCCGTGAATCGATTCACCATATATAGAAGGGTACTATTCAATAAAGAACAACAAAAACAACAACAATAACAGTATTATTTGATACCGGGAGTCGCTTTTCCTTTTTGGGAATGCTGTGTGGTGCAGTTGGGTGGACGCAATACAATTTGTTAAAAAAATAAAAATAATAAAAATGAAATTGGGTAACGGGAGACGGTTTACTATATATGGAACATTCAAACATACAATTGAACCCGGGTCACGGCGATGGCAACGCCGTATTCTACCACTAAACCATCGACGCTTCACATTCACCCAAAATGTATTTTTCATACGTGATGATTTTCTGTAAAAAGCCCAGGCTGAGAGGTATCTTTTTAAAAGCAATTTGTGTACGAAAAGGTGAACTCTACCACCACCTTAATAAAAAATTTTAAATTATCCGTGCTGACGAGAATGAATATAGGAATATTTCAACCTTAAATGTTAATCTCCAATATTCTAATTTTCCTCATTATTGGCAATAATTTACTACTAATCACCATAAACTTGAAAATGTCGTCTTTTTGATGATTTGGACCAGCAATTATCTTCTTAATTTCGGGATATTTTGTTTATAGATATTGTCCACTACATTTTGAATTGTACGTACTTGCTCTTAATAAGGTTCCATATAAATTAATTATAAAATTAAAAGGTCGACGATTATACAAAAGAACCACCTAGTTTGGAGATTTGAAAACACTAAAAAGAATGAAAGAACCCGTCCAAAAATTGTCGCAGCATCAGCATAATTATCAAGCACTTTATCATCTTCGGATTAATCATATGAAATTCTTATTCACCCTTATTAAAATCATTATACTAGCAACAACAACAATAATATTATTGAGTAGTAGTAGTGACAGGTTCTTATTAGTGGTTCTCTCGAGTAGTACGAGTGGTATTATCAATATTTCGCCGAAAAATCCACAACTTGACTCGGTGCAGTGGAATGATGAGAGGGAAATTTGGTTTGCACAATCTTGTCCTCTTTCTGGATCGAATAAGAGGTGAGTATTTTCATCACCATCATTGATAATTAATTTTTATATATTATTGATCTGTTTCAACGCTTGCAAATGAACTGTTCACTTCCTTAATATATATTACAACATCATTAATAATTTTTAACTGCTTGCACACATGTATATAAAAGATTGGGCATTGAAATGAGGGATGGAATATTGGCTGCCTTTCATGAAGCCAATTCAATAGGAGGCATTTGGGGCTCTAAGAAATTAAAACTATTAACTTTTGATGATGCCTACGAACCAACCAATACTAAACAGAATACCGACTTTTTCCTATACAATATAACACCACCGAATACTTCCCTTAATTATGAATCCTATTTTTCACAGAATTCCCAATACAGAGAACAGATGAAGAATGTGAAATTGTTTGGATTGTTGGGATTTGTGGGAACACCAACAACTCAGGCTGTATTTGGAGATGTCGTTTCGAATTCCTTTCCTTTGATTGGGCCTTTTACTGGGGTTGGTTGGCTGAGAACACCATTCTACCCGAATGTTATTAATGTGAGAGCTTCCTACGATGATGAAACAGCTGCTATGGTCGACTGGCTGATAAATGTCAAGCTCATTAGAAAGATTAGTGTCATGTATCAAGCTGATAGTTTCGGTCAAGCTGGTTTGAATGGAATTAAACGAGCTTTGGTCGATTATCTCAAAATACCAATTCGCTCCATAGGTAGCTATCCAAGAAACACTCTTCAAGTAGAAGATGCATTTGCTGAAATTGGTAAAGGTTCACCTTCAGCAATAGTTTGCATTGGAACTTATGCTCCTCTGGCTAAATATATCAAAATGGTAAAGAACATGGCATTTGCAACGAATGGAAATAATAATGGATATGAAAATGCTCAGGAAATAATCATCCTGACTGTTAGTTTTGTTGGTTCTTCTGCTTTGGTAAGTGAATTGCAGTCAAGCGCCCCAATTTCAAACAAGTTTGGCTCAAGTTATTATACAGACAATGTGGTCATTACACAAGTGGTTCCTTCACCATTTAATTTGAGTTATCCTATTGTGAGATCCTATCAAAAGGCAAGAAAATCATACATACTTTCGAATAATCCTTCGGCTAATCTTTCAGATTTTGTTCCCTCTTTCATAGAACTGGAAGGATACATTGTAGGAAGATTTGTAAACAGTGTGCTACAGAAAATGTCTGGAAATTTGACCAGATCAAACTTTTTAGCGACTTCCTATTTTGGAGGAAGTAGAGCTGATGTTACAATTGCAGATTCTTCAATAGGAGATGCATCTGGAGGGGTTTTCAATTTTGATGGAATGCAATTGGGACCTTATAGATGGTGTGACTCAGTCAATCTGATCGATATGAATTTACCTTATTCTAATGGTTTCGTATTACCAAGTCAAACTTCGGCCAGCAATAGCAGCGCATGTTCTTCTTTCAATTGTAATCAAGGAATGAAAGTTGTGTACAAGAGCTCTATCGACATCAAAAACTCCTCAGTTTCCTTTTCTGTATTTGGTGATTTATTTTCTTGGTATAATTACAAATCTGGAAGCTATTGCATTTCAGATCCAGTTCTTGTAAAGAAACCTCTTTTATTTGGCCAATCAATTAATACAGCATCAGGTGATTTCACTGAAGAACTCATGTTAAGAAAAGGAATTCTGGCTGCATTCGCTCTTCACAATCAAGGATTGACGTCAAATCAACAAAAATTAGAACTCTTAACAATGTATCATTCAGGAACAAGTGAAATGTTGAAGAATACGAAGGAATTTGTAGAGATTCATCATGCTCTTGGATTATTAGGATATTCTTCAACTAATTTGAATGTTGACATGTTGTCGAAAGCAATGACAGACAATTCATCTCAACTGAATGGTATTGCATTGGTGGGAACTGCTTCTACTATTAATTCGATGGATTTCAGATCAAGTTTCTTCCAAAATATTATTCACGTTCATAGTTCCATTTTAGAACAATTAGGAACTATTGTGGATTACTCAATTAACACTCTAGGTAGAACAAGAATATCCATTGTTTATAGTAGGAATCAAGATTCGATGGCAGCTTATTCGATTCTTAACGAAATATTGTCAAGTTTAGATTTAAAACTTGATTCAGAATCGTGTATTCAAAACGAAACTTTTATTTCAACTGATACAATCATCAGCGATCTATCTTTGAATGGAGCTAATCCTCAAATCATCATCTTTGCATTCCCTTCAAATGTAAATAATATTGGATCAATCATTTCTTCCATTCAACAAACTTTTTCAACAGAACCAAAGTTTAGAAATGAATTGACCATATTTATGATCAATTCATTCTTTAAAGAAAATGTAGAGGTTGAAATATTACCTTGGATTTCATCTCCCAAGTTGGATAATGTCAAACTAATGTACGTGTCACATGTTCCATCCATAAATGGAACAGCTCACATTTCCATTGAAAAGTTTAAGGCAGCTATGGAGCTCTACTCTCCAGATCTTTCAAATTTATACAATACCAAAGTGTTGGAAGGTTTCTTTATAGGAAGTTTCATCAGTACAATTATGGAAAATCTTGGAAATGAACCAACAAGTCAAAATTTAATCGAAACTATTTATAAGGTAAAGACATTTATCAATTTCCAGACTACTTTTGGTGCATTTTCAGAGTCTTCCACAAGTCCATGTAATTTGGGAATGAGAATGAGTTATATTTATGGGCTTTCGAATAGTGGAGTTTCAGAGATTGCCACGAGAGATCATTCTTCAAATTGTGGACTACACAGCTATGTTTCAACAAGAACTTCTGTCATTCACAGTAAGATAGATAGACCAATCTTACTTGGAAGATTAATTCCATACAAAAAGGATGAAAATTCATTGCAAAATAAGATTGAATTGCTGAGTGAAGTTTCGACAATTGACATGGATGATTATGCCAGAGGATTGACTACCTATCTAAGTTATTTATCCTCAAAACAGTCTTACCAAAGTGTCAAGACCAAGAAAATCCACTTACTCACCGAGTATTACAGTTTAACCTCAAGTGGCAAAACTTTTTCGGACAAGTTGACAGCTCTCATCCAAAAGAATAAGATTTTCGCTCTCGTTGGTTCCATCATTAAATTCGACGAATCTACACTTAGCACTAATGACAAAATAGATCAAATCTCCAAAATCCTTTCGAATAACAATATTCCACTCATTGATTCTCTGACAGGAAGTATTCGAATGAGGAAACCTTTTTCACAAATGTTTGTAAACATTGGTCCTTCGTTGTTGGATCAAGGAATTGCTTTTATTAATTATGCAAAGAGTAGATTTGGTCAAATTGCAATTGTTTATCAAGATTCAGAGTATTGGAAAGGAGCTTTGGATGAGATTGTAAACTTTTGTAGAATTGAATCGATTACAATAGGTCAATTGAGAGCTATAGATATTTTCAAGTCAATATCAGATCAAACAGATCATTTTGAGTCATTTTTGAAGGAGAAGGAAGATGTGGCTATATTTATTTTGGCAAATGACGTTCATTCAGCTGAAATTGTTAAATTGACATCTGTCACACACAAGGCAAATAGTTTTACTAATAATATCTTGTTTGGAATTCCTGTAGAGTCTGCTACCATTGATTTTGAAAGTGCAGTGATGAGCTGTTCCTCCCTTAGAAATGAAACATCTCCCTTGATTAGTAGTTTCGTTTCTGGTAAATCAGATTCTGAACTAATGTCAATTGTCAGCTCTTACATTTCATCAAACAAGTTATTAATTACCAAATCCATGTATTCACCCAACTACATCTCCCAAACTCATGATCAATACTCATTTTCCACAAGATTTTACACTCAATTTGCTGAATTTTCAAATTACCCAAAAGCAAATTATTTCACATTCGAAGGATACGTGATGGGTTACTTTATAGACATGATGATGGGTAGTATCTATCAATCTCAAGGTATATCTGATCAAATATCTGATATTGCCTCTCAAGATTTATTAGACGCAATTTATTCAAATTCAGTTTTTGATATAATCTTTAAAAAGATTGGTCCTATGGGATATACATGTTCTAACAATACAGAGGCAAGATCTACATGTGAAGATTCTTCCACTTTGGTTGTTGGTTGTGGGTGCAATCAGGGAGCCAAAGCGGTCTATTTGTCTGGATTGGCCAATTTCACACTTTCTTATAATCAAACTAATCTCAATTTCTTTGACATTTCTGATTATTCCCTGACTTTCAGAACATGTGGAGTTGAAGCTGTCGTTCCTTCCTTGTCCATCATTGCCATTATTTTCATTGTCATTGGTTCCTTACTCGCTGTATTTATCCTAATCCTTTCTCCAATTCTGAGCTATCGTTATTACATCTCCAAAAAGGCAATTAAGCATGCACCAACTTCCAAGAATGGTAAATTAGCTTGCTGTTTCACTGATGTCCAAAACTCTACCGTTTTGTGGCAATCCAATGAAAAGGCAATGAGAGAAGCTTTAGTCATTCACAATCAAATAATGAGACGAAACTTGGAATTATGCAATGGATTTGAAGTCAAGACCAATGGTGATAGTTTCTTTGTAGTTTTCAAAGATCCAGTCGATGCACTTGATTGGTGTGTCTCTGTCCAACATGATTTACTACATGCCAAATGGCCAGCTGATTTATATAGTATGTGGGATTGTAGACCTGAATGGGATGAAGAAAGTAGACGAATGATGTGGTCAGGGGTGAGAGTTAGAATGGGATTACACTATGCACAGGCTGATTATGTCTTTGATAAGGTCATGAAGAGACCTGATTATTTTGGAACTTGTGTGAATACTTCTGCCAGAGTGGAGGCAATGGCCCATGGTGGACAGATTTTAGTGACTGAGGAATTCTTTTTGGAAACATGGAGGATTATGAAGACATATTTGTATTCGAATGTAAAGTTTCAGGAGCAGAATTATTATGGCTATGTCCACGATATAACTTTGGCCATGTCGAATCCGTTATTGAGCCAAACTGCTTCCTTTACGCAAGATTCAAGTTTCAATAATACGAATAATACGAATAATACTTCAATGGTTTCTGGAACTCAGAGTTCTTCGAGTGGAAACACTTCAAAAACTCCAAAGAGTACAGATGTTTCCAGAAAGTTAAATCTGAACGCTGCTTCTAAACGAAAGAGACCTAAACATGCTGAGATGATTTAGGTGAATACACGCTCAAGGGATTAGAAGGCATGACTCGTTTATTCCAAATCAAATCTGAACTGATGCAAAAGAGAGTTTATCCACCTTTGAAGAATCAACCAGAAGCCCTTTCTAAAGAGAATAGTTCAGTTGCTGTCATTCCAACACCAATGGGACCTCAAGACAATGACTCGGTTGAAGTTGGACATTTTAAGAAGGTTCACCGATTGAGTAATTCAAATATTGTGAAGAGTTTACCACATTTTGAGATGGAGATGGGCGAAATTGAAGCTGAAAGAATAACAGATAGTATTCCTTCATTGAGAAGGTCCATGTCGAGGAAAAATCATAATAAGATTATACCAGCTGCTGATGATAATATGGTTAATTTGGTGGATGAAAATGCTTCCACGAGAGCAGAGGTGGAAACTGTGAGGTAAATTTTTGGAATGACATTGTTGGTGGTCATTGTTTGACAGTTGCAGGCTTCAAAACCAGCCATATTCCACAGTCAGTCAAAAAGCCTTCCAATTACTTGTTAACAACTGCCACTCTATCAAAATTAAGCGCAGTGTTGGAATAATAATCACATTTAAAAAGTCCATCAATGGCTGCCTCAATCAAATTTAAAATGTCCTCAGCGCACATATGTTACTATTTTTAAAAAGCCCATTGAAATAATTCTTAATATTTCAAAACAACAAAAGAAAATACATCAATAAGTTGAAATTTAAAATGAAGGGTTACCATCCAAGATTCTATTATCATGACTACACCTACTATAGACCAAGAATATTCCCAAGATTCGTCTTTGGTATGCTCGTTGGTGGATTTATTGGCTATGCATGGGGAAGAAACAACAATAACCATCAAGGTGGAAGTGGATGGGGTAATAGACACAATTATTGGGATTACAATAGAAATAATAACAACAATAACTCAAATCCACAACCTTTCAATAATCAAAGTAATCCAGTTCAATATCAATATAATCCTCAACCTCAACAAGCTCAATTACAACAACCATCTCAACAATATCCACAAAATATTCAACCTCAACAAACTCAATTACCACAACCTTCCCATTCAGTTCATAATCATCCAACTATGAATATCAATTATCCTGAGGAAAACAAACCAACCAATCAAAATTAAGCTCATTTGCACCAATCAACACAATCAGCATGTATATAATATAGCAATAAATTAGTTTAATGATGAGATAATTCTGATATTTCCTTATTGACTTGTTTGAGAGCTAGTTTGGCTCTGGAATGTAAAACTTCCTCAAATGAATATCCACTCATCTTGCTACATTTCTCCAAGTAGTGTTTGACATCCTTCAGAAGGGCAAGTTTTTCTTCCTTCTTTTCTGCAGGGACTTGTTTAGATTCGAATAAGTAAATTGATTCTCCAATTTCATAATACGAAAAGGCAATCCACTGTTTTTCCAACACAATGTGGTGCTCATAGGAAACTGCCTTTTTAAATTCCTCCTTACTTTCCTCATGTTTTCCAAGTAATCTCAAAAATTGACCTCTCACAACTGCCAATCCAGCTTGAATATCATTTCCCAATTTGGAATGGTTATCAATGACAATTTCATTTGAAGTCTTGATAAATAATTCGTACAATGGCTCAGCAATGTCTATTTGCAAATTGGCTAAATCTCTCTTGACATATAAAAAGTGGAAGACTGACATGAACATCATTAAATGTTTTTCCTTTTCTGTTTTTAAATATTTGAAAACTTCAACCTTTTCAGCAGCAAATTTGTCAATTCTTGATCCCTTTGAAACATATTTTCCAAAACTATCAATCAATTTGTTAGTTCCCTCAATATCTCCGAGTCTTAATTTACAAGCAGCCAGCAACATGGCCGAAATTCCTTTCGTATCAAAATCCTTTTCAGAGCTCACTAATATATTCAAATAATGTGATGCCTTTTCAAAATCCTCAGTCAAAAAGTAACACCAGCTTAATTCATGTACGAGGATGTTTGGCATAAAACCCATCGATTCTTCACAAATTGTAATGGCCTCACTCAAACTGGTAATGGCATTCGAAATGTCTCCCTTCTTTCTTTCATAGTGAGATTTCATCATTTTAAATCCACCACTTCTAGGGAAGATCTTTTCTGATTTCTCTAATAATCCACCTGCAATGGCAAGTTTAGTTTCACGATCTTCCAATGCTCTTGGAATGAACAGATAATTCATTGATAACATGAAGGAGGCAACTCCAAACTGTCTTCCACCATATTCATGATCAAATTTCATTAATTCCAAACCATGATCTCTATCTGCATCAAATCCAATCATACTCAAAATGGAAGTTAACATGGGTGGTAGAATTGACAACATGAAATTGAAAATTCTATAAAAATCAAATTCAACAAATTTCCAATCCGTTAATTAATAAACCAAATGAACAATTATAAAACATACCCCATTCCAAAATATACATTATGCAAAACATCACTATGAATAAACTCATTCGAACTCTTTTCATAACTTTTCAAAGGTTCCACAATATTGTAAACATGTTTGAATTTCAAATATGATTTTCTCAAATTGTAAAACCCTTTAAAATAAGATCCACTACTAAACTGCACAACTCCTCTCATTAAATGTAATTCACCATCAAGAATTTCATGATCCAATTTTAAATTATTAATTTTCTGATCAATTGTCAATTCTTTCAGTTGGCAAAAGTTTTTATGATCCTTCTCGTTGAAATTGTAATAATTTTCATTGTTGGAATATAACTCTTCGTCCATTCTTTCTAATTCTTGAATGAGATTCGTCAAGTTTGTTGCCGAATGTTTGTTGAAAAGATAAAGAGAATGTTCAGCTGCTTCAATGGCTTTGAGACTTTCATCTCTCAGAGAAGTATCACCTGAAAGAACACTTCCCAAAATTGCTATTACATTTCAATATATATCATTCATCAAATAATTTACAACAATTTTCAATATTTAATAACATGTTCATCACCTTCTCCATCTGTACTACTTACGAATAATAGCCAATTCATAGGCCATTCGGGGAATGCTCTTTGCTAATGGATCTAAATACTTTTTAGCTTCTGCAAATTCAGTATTCCTGATGAATGAATATTTAAATAATTTACATCATATTGATAATAACAATTAATATTAATAATTGTTAGAATAAACAATATGAAGAATAAAAACTCACCAAACCAAATGATTTCCTTTGAGAATGCAATTATACATTTTTTTCAGATGGTTTTTTAATTAGTTGGACAGATCCAATTCGGAGATAGGAGTTGAACTGCTCTGATATGGTTTTTTCTCTATTATTCTGTTAATAACTGTAGTAACAATTTGCAAGTTAATGGTAATAAATAATAATAAATTAAGTTTATTTAAGCATTGACTGGAACACCAAAAGCACAATCAGTTTCAATACCCAATGATCCAAAGGAAACACGAGCAAAACCAGATTCACCCCAGTTACTGTATTTCATTGAATTTCCAAATATGAATCAATTCGATATCCACAAATAAGAAAAAGAAATTAGAAAATCCAAAATATAATTATAATACTCACGCTCCCCATCTAATTATTAACAATTGGTAAACGTTTTAAATACATTGAAAATACTTACGAATTTCTAACAATCCAATATTGACTAGCAGTAGCAGAATCCCATCCCCAACCAACAACAGCAACAATATGGTTGACTTGTGGGTTATTAAGAACTTGAGTAAAGACACCTCCAGTGTAAGCTTCGAATTGTGGAGTAACTTGACTATTTAAAAAGTTAATAATAATCATTCCAACTTGAAATACTTACATAGCACAAGTAACTGGACCACGAGCATAGACTTCATTCAAAATACTATCAGAACCCTTCAAAGTACCATAAGCACCAACCTTGAATCTCTTATAGTTGGTGATTGGGTGACAATTAGAGTTACCGAAAGTGGTACAAGTGTAACAAGCATTCATGTCAGTACAAGTTTGATCTATTTCACACAATGTTAATAATTCATATACTATTAATTTGTTAACACATACCAACAGCTCTATAGTTGTTACAGGTTTCATCAGGAATACCAAACTTGTTAGCATAAACGTAAACGCTGTAGTGCTGTTGTTATTGTTGTTGTTCCATCATATCCACACAATATTCATCATATCCAATTATCATATTGTTAAAAGAATAGTAAAATCATTATAAAAACAATCTGTGTTGTTGAAAAAGACTTACATCACCACCCTTGCAGGAACCGGCATTACCACAAGCCAAAACTATCCATATGGTTAATATAACAACAATAAATTAATCAACACACTACATACCATGTTGTGGGGAAAGATAAGCACATGGCCATTGTCCCTTTCTCAAAATATTAACACGATCAGCCAAAGTAGATGTACTTGCCATAGCCCAACAACTACCACAAGCTTGAGGAAGGTTTTGACTTCTAATGGTGGAAATATAATTGGTTCCATTAACGTTACGCCAATCAAAGGCTGTTGGCAAAGCCTTTGCGATAGTAACAGGGAATCTATAGGAAGGAGATTCATTCTTCTTGTTCATTTCACGCAAGGCAACGTTTGGTTGATAGCATGATTCAAAGGCCATGGCAAAGGAGGCCATCATGATCAAACCAACAACAATCAACAATTTGTTCATCATTTTTTTTTTCTAAAATATTTTTTTTAAATTTTTTTGAACTCCGCTGAAACTCCATTTCCCTCTTTACTAATTCTTTGATAACAACGGCAAGAATTATTGATTTATTAAGGATTTTATGGAAATGGAGGAAAAATAACTATTGAGACAGAGTTATCATTTGAAAATCTCTTAATTGTGAACTGGTTGGTCTTTGAGATGGATCCTTCTTTAACATGGAAAGCACGAATTGAATGAGTGATTCTGAATATGGAATGGATTGTCGTTTGATTTGAGAGTAGAGTTGAGAGAGGACTTGATCTTCATGTTCTGAGAGGAGGTGGGTGGCTATTATGTATTGGAGTGAATCATTGGTCATGAGTTGGTAAAATGAAACACCGAGAGAGAAAATGTCAGATGGCATTCCATAATTTTCATTTGAAAGACATTCAGGAGACATGAATGCAACTGTTCCCTTTACAGAATTGTTTTCATTACTAATTTCCTTAGCCTCTCCATAATCTCCAATAACTAGCTCTATACTATCGATGAAAGGATCGAAGCTGTCAACAAAAATGTTCTTTGGTTTCAAATCTCTGCATTTCCAATATTATTTTTCAGTTTAGGATAAGAATATTAATATATTTTCAAATGAATTATACTAAACCTACCTATGGAGAACATTCCTATTAATGTGAAGATATGACAAACCATCTCCAATTTGATTAATTACACTAATCATGAGTTTCTCCGAGAATATTCCATTAATTTTCAAACACTTGTCCAAATCTCCCTTATAATATTTCATTACCAAACAAAGAGCATTATTGAGCCTCTTGGAAACAAACAACTCATAAACTTCAACCAATCTAGGATGTTTGAATGAGAGAGTCTTTGAACATTCATCAATTGCCTTTTCCATTTCATTATCCGAAACTCGAATGCACTTGATGGCAACCAATCGATTAGAGCTCTTGGTATCCTTACACAGGAAACAATCTCCAAACGATCCCGATCCAATCTTTTCCAAAACTTCATATCTATTCTTTAACAAATTATTATTCACATCATCGGTGGAACTTGTTGAGGTCACAGATTGTTGATTAAATGAATTTGTAGTTGTGGTGGTATTAGAATTGTTAGTTCTTAAAGTATGATATGTATCAATCGAGGAATGAGTTTCAATTTCGTGGTCTGAGAATATGACTGGATTATGCATGTTGAGTGAGACAGATTTTTGAGTATTTGCATTGGACGAAACTGTATTCGAGTTCAATAATTCGTGGTGATGTTCCTCCAAATGAGGAGATTCCTTCTCTTTCTTTTTGCAACTTTTCACAACACAGCAACCAATTAATGAACCAACTGACAGCACAATAATAAAACAAATAATTGAACCCAAAACTATGGCCACAATGATAATTATCTGTGTAATATCTAAGGATGAGGCGGAATAAGCTTCAATATTGTAAACTATTGGACATGTGTAATCATTGCAATGAATTCTCACATAGAATGGAACATAATTTGATGAGGTTATGTACAAATCTGGAACATTAATTGGAAAATACGTATAGGGAGGAGAAGGTTGAACATTTGAAGAACTTTTCACAAACGAAACTCCATCAAACGAAAGAGAAACTGCTACCGAAACTGATGTTTTTCCTATTGCTGCAGTTTTCAGTCTCACAGTTGACTTTCCATTAGTGAGACAGGTTTTACAGACCAATTCCTCTGCATCATTCATGGACATGGTGAGAGTTGTGCTTTGAGAAGAAAGTTTGACTTCGTGCCAGAATTTTTCCACAACAAAATATTGAATTCGAATAGTTTCGCTACTCGATGGATTAAACAAGACGAAATAAGATTCCAATCCTGTATATAATCTGAATTGGGATACCGATGCTGAGGTTGCATTACTAGCCAAAATCTTGAATGTCTGATGATACTTGTCAACTTGTAATTGAGGATAGAGAGTTACTGGAATAACACCCATCACTAATTTACCAGTTGCTTGGTATTCCAAACGGAAATATCCATACTGATAACTTGTATTATAATTCACAAATTGCAAAGGACCCAATTCATAGTCAATGATAATGTCATTCAGCTCTGTGTTCATTCCGCATGTCAATTTACAAGACATCAAGAGCACTATCAATACCATAACTATCCATCTGATGGAAAATACATCAAAAACTCTGCAGATGAAACTGCCTTGCAATCTTCTTGTCTCGTTTGATAACAGTTCTGGTTGCGACATTTTTTTATCCTAAAGTTTCATCAACAAGTTCTTTTTTGGTAATTTACAAAGATTGAATTCATGAACTTGTCTCCCATTAGAAAGGGATGCATTTCAATTTGGTTATTAATGTTATCATGTTAATTTACAAAGAAAAAACAATTCTAGTTGACAAAATTTACGATTTTCTGAACATCACTTTAGAGCGAATATTGGTAAAAAGATAAAAAGACTACAGCACCACAGGTTCCCAAGTTGTCTCCAACCTCAGTACTGATGTGGCTCGACGATGCTTAACTTCTCAAATCGGACGGGATGAGGTGCATTCATCGTGATATGGCCGTAGCCATTCATAACCATAAATTACGGTTTATTTATCGTTTTTCGAAGGCAAAGCCAAAATTTGGACCACCTAAAATACCCTGGTTTGATTATTAAATTGATGAAAACATTACAATTACATACTACTATCATCATGACATTAATTTTTATTTACAATTTGAGTTGACTTATTTACAAAGGTTAGTTTTTCATCAAAGGCTTTCGGAACAATTAGAATACAATATTATTTACATTACAAAGCCTTCACAATAAAGAACAAGCTATTAAAATTATATAATTGTCATTTGATGATCATGTAAAATATATTACAGTAATACATCATCATCGGAATTAATGATCATGCTTATTTGTATGATATTGAGGAGGATTATAAAAACCAGTCATCATCATAATCACCCAAACAAGAACACACAATACAAAGGAAGTCATATAAGCAGCAGGTTTGGTGGACATTCTTATTATTTTGTTTGTTAGATGTATTATTAGATATAATTTAAGAGTTTGATCAAACTTCGTTTTTTTCTGAAATATTATTAAATCAAATATTTGACGCAATTCAATGATATTAATATCTCGCTTCAAGAATATACTGTTTAAAGAGAATCATAGTAATTTAAAGTCTTTGTATTATTGATCAGAAATGAAACATCTCTATTGTAATAAAGAGTCCAATTAGTTGTGTGAGGAATTGCGATGTTAAGATTCTCAATTTGTGAAAGATCCTTAATGGATAATGCACCCTGATCATTGTTGAATATTGTTGAAGAGGAGTTACACCAAGAAGTGGATAATAGTTTATTTACAGTGAATAGTTTACAACAGTCAGGAATAGTTTACAATTAGTTTTTGAAAGAATGAAATAAATTAATGAAGTTTGGCAAGTTCTCCTTCAATGGCTTCCATTACTTCTTCTAAAACTGTATCACTTCCAGATCTGTACGAAACCTTTCCTTCACTATCAATGACAAACTTTTCAAAATCTTCAACTATAGTCTTGAACGAACCATATTTAGTTAAATAATCACAAGCTGCAACTGGACCACTTGGTGATTCTGTTGATTTGAGAATTGTCAAATCGTTATTAAAGAAAGAACCTGTCACTGATCTATCTTGAGTTGAGTTAGTGGAAGCATTCAATAATTGTAAAGTACGTTTCGAATACAAATCATGATTTGGAATAACAATCAATTCGAAAGGTTTTCCATTCAATTTCAATTTGAATGAACTCAATTGCTTTAAATATTCTTTACAATGCTCATTTTCAGTATTCATAAAGGCAACCAAACAAACTTTTCCCTTCATTTGATGTAAATCAATTCTATTATTGTTAATATCCTTTGTTACAAAGTTATAGAATGTAATTGGTTCATTCATTGCAGAATTGTGATATGAGGCAAACAACAAGCCTTGTTGTTTCTGATAGGATTGGAACATTGTCTTGTTTCTTGCACTTTTAAAGGACAATTTGTTAATTTGCTTTAAGGTTCTCGATAACATTTTGTATGTGATTTAAATTATTTGATGATATTAATAAATGGATATTCAACTTTTTGTTGATATTCTACAATTTTGGAAATAGCACAGAAGAGTAGCAGTGAAAATAGCACAAAGGCTTTGATTTGTTTTTTTTGTGTTTTGATTAACAAGATTCTCTCTGCCAATGCACAACTTTTAAATCATGGCGCTCAAAAATGTGCAATGGAAGAATTAAAGAAAAATTCCGAAAAAAATTCGCGTTTTATTTTTGGTAGTGAGCTGCTTGTGTGATAATTTCCGAGTGATGCGAAGGCGACAAGATGACCATTTGAGTTTTGTATTGACAAGTGGCAGAACAGCTGGAAATGAATTGAAAGAACTGGAAAAGTAAGAATAGGAAGTGTGAAGGCTTGGTAAGAATAGTTTGAATGTGGTGAGGAATGCCTGCAGAGAGCAATATTCGCCATTTACGAAAGTTTGTTTCCACCACAATATTGTAATTGACCAACTGTAAATCGATTGTTTTACAAAGATAATTATCATGTTATCTTGGAAATCTTTCAAATAGTTTGCATTACAGAAATGCATTTCAATATTCTGAACTATTAAGCTACATAATTTCACACACTCAATAAATTTCATTTAAATTTGAAAAAACTACTTTAAACTTTTTTTATTTAGTTTTGAGCAGTGTATTCCTTCAAGATTTGCTTGATGAATGATTCGAGACCTTCAGTCTTAGCAGCTGGAGTAGCAGTGGCAGTTTGGTTGGTAGCAGTCTTTGGGGCAACAACCTTTGGAGCAACAACAACAGGCTTCAATTGCTTCTTAGCAGCATTGATCTTCTTAACCAACTTCTTCAAGTCAGCCTTCAAACCCTTCTTAGCAAAAGCCTTCAAGAAAGCCTTCTTCAATTGTCTCTTCAAAGCCTTCTTCAATTGCTTTCTGTTGAGCTTTCTCTTTGGAGCGGCACACTTTCTGACCTTTCTCTTTGGAGCAGCACATCTTCTTCTTCTAACAATCTTTCTCTTTGGAGCACAAGTTCTTCTTCTTCTGACGATCTTTCTCTTTGGAGCACCACATTTCTTGGCAACTCTTCTCTTCAAGAATCTTCTGATGAATTTTGGAGCTCTTCTTCTCTTTGGAGCAGCACATCTTCTTCTCTTAACAACTCTCTTCTTTGGAGCAGCACACTTTCTCTTAACAACTCTTCTCTTTGGAGCAGCACACTTTCTCTTTGGAGCTCTTCTTGGGGCTCTTCTGACAGATCTTCTTCTCTTTGGAGCAGCACACTTTCTTCTTGGGGCTCTTCTTGATGATCTTCTTCTTGGAGCTCTTCTGGCAGATCTTCTTGATGATCTTCTTCTCTTTGGAGCAGATCTTCTAGTGGATCTTCTTCTCTTTGGAGCAGATCTTCTTGATGATCTTCTACCACCTCTTCTTTGTTGTCTTCTCTTTGGAGCAGATCTTCTTCTTGGAGCTCTTCTAGCAGATCTTCTGGTGGATCTTCTTCTTGGAGCAGATCTTCTTGATGATCTTCTAGTGGATCTTCTTTGTCTTCTAGCACCTCTTCTGGCTTGTTGTCTTCTGGTAGCTCTAACTAACTTTCTCAACAACTTTCTGACAATTCTGACAGACTTGGCGAACTTTCTAGAATTCTTCAATTGAGCAACGAGAGTAACTAATTCTTCCTTTCTGTTATCCTTCTTCAACTTGTTCAAGTATTTGACAATCTTGGTCAACTTTCTCAAATAAGTAGTAGCAACCTTCTTGGACAATCTTCTTCTTTCGTGGGAAGTAGAGGTAACCAAACCGAGATTCTTGATATTCTTCAACAACTTTCTCAAATATCTAACAGCTCTTCTCTTACTGGCTCTTCTTCTTCTTGGTGCTCTTCTCTTTCTATCATCACCTCTTCTTCTTCTTGGTTGGGCATCTCTGGATTGTTTTTCACGTTGATCACGGACTGTTTGCAAGAATTTTTGCAACATGGCTTCTTGGTCAGCTTGTTCAGTGGTAGCCATTTGAGCGGTGGCAAAAACAGCCAAGAACAAAACAGCCAAAATGGCGGCAAGAATAAAACTGCTTCTCATTTTGAGTTTTCTTTGTATTTTTTTTTAGATGATGAGGAAAGTAAATGTCGCAACTTGCCTCGCATTTTATTGGCTCTTAGATGATTATAATGACTACCATAGACGAGTGACAGCGGGTTAAGTTCTTATGACTGCTTGTGGAAACTGATTATGTTAATGATGATTATTGCAATCAAGAAGCAATTTAATTGAAAGTGTGTTTTGTATTTGAAGGGTTGCAATACTGGAACTGGCATGAACGAATTGTACTACTACAGTTGAGAGCGCTATTATTGTTGATGAAACCTTCATTATTGGTATTGAAGAATTCATGTTATCTTGAATATTTTCAGAAAAAAGAAACTAGACGAAAGATATCAAGAATATGATAAAGAATTAGAATTCTAATATTCGATCACCTTTAAATTGAAACGCAGAACAGCAACGGACCAGAATTGATGTAAATATTGACAAGTTAAAATATTTCGATTATCTCATCATTATAACGGGTTGATTTGTAATTGGAACCGAATCACTATTGCTATCCCATTATTGGATTTAGAGCATTTAAAACAATTACAACAAATATTCAATGCTATTGAATGTTAATTACGGAGAGTGTGGTATACTAAGAGAGGAGTGTGAAAAGTCCGTTTGTCCATCTAGATTTAATATTGTAAATGTTTGAGAATTAGATGAATAACACATAATTCTATTAAATGGTGAAATGAGAAAAAAGCAGCAATATGAAATATTTGACATTGGGGAAGAATATCATAACAAAATAACAAAAAGTCATAGCAAATCTAGGTTTCGATCCTAGGACCTATGGGTTATGAGCCCATCGCGCTTCCGCTGCGCCAATTTGCTTTACATTTATATTTCTAAAAAAAACATTTTGAAATATATTATCAGACTTTTAGAGCCAGTAGATTCTTTTCTATTACATTTTCTTTGTTGTTATTTGCTTCTTTATATTTTGTATTAATTTGTATTAGCCAAATCAGTACTTCCGTAAATTACTTCGAATGGTCCATGTCTTGTCTTTCACTGTTCATCAAATTCTTCTCGAAAGAATCTACCTCTATTCGCAACTCAAAAAAAAGAAGGTAAAATCTCCTACCACTACAATATTTTAATAATAAAACGAAAATCCAGCTCAGGTTCATCTCTTAAGTAAAACCAAGCAAAATATATGCGCACAATCGGGAGGCTATTTACTAATTGGTAAACATTATTTCGTTTTGGGAAGTTGGCATAACATATAAATTGAACAATTAAACAAAAAAAAATGACACAACAACAACAATTGATAAATATTAATTTTTAATAATACAATGGAAACTCAAATTGTAACAATGGAAGAAGGAACCTATGATGATATTTTGGAATGTTCAATTTTTTCTGATAATACACCAACCAGTTCAAAGGAAATAACTTCATCTTTGGAAAGAAAATCTAAAAGAAAAGGAAGAAAACAATCAACTAGCACCAAAAGGAAAAGTGCTGAGATTGAAGAAGGAAAATCAAAAAAAAGAAAGTCAAATGAGGAAGAGGAATGTGATTTTATTTTGGAAAAAGGAGTTTTTACATTTGAACCAAGCTTTCCAGAGTGGAATCAAGTACCGAAGCCTGTTTTGGATACGTATAAGGTGGTTTGGGAAATGTTCGCAACTTGTGCTCGTTGTACTATCCATGAACAATTGGAAATGAAGAACACAAGTAGAGTGCACCATATGGTAATTGGAAATTGTTTACCAACTGTATTTTATCTTGTATTGAAGGAATCAAAAGGAAAGTTCTATCAGTGGTATCAAAATGTAATGCAACATGGCATAAAGGTGAAACAAGATTGCATTCAATTTAGATTTAAAGATTGTTTGCCACCTCTAGATAATTTTGATGATTGGGCTGATTTTAAATTGAACATCACCAACGATACGTTCAAGTATGGTAAAAAAGAAATGGTGCACCACTTAAAGATTAAGTACATTTCTTTGACTTGCAATGTATCCTCTTTCCAAGTTTATACTTCATTCAAGTTTGAGAAAGAAATTATTTTACAATAAATTTGTAATTATCTAATATCCCTCATTGTATTTTCAAATCGAAAAAAATAGGATCAGAGCATTCTATGGACCAAAACAGCCAAACTTTCATGAACATTCTAGCAGGTCTAACTCATTCAGAAATAAAATTTTTTTCTTTGAACATTATCATGTTGAATGTATATGAGTGAAAAATGACAAGAATATGGATTTGAGAATATTAAGGCAGATAGTAGTATCGTGATTCCATTCAGTGTCTGAACTGAGCTTGCACTTTGTGAAACATTCAATAATGAAGAGATTTCTCCGAGGATTTTATAGATGGGCGGATGGTTTTAAAATGAATCGATATGATCGAAATCATTAACTCTAACATGTATTCTTTTACAAATACTTCTATTAAAAAATAGAAAATTAATTATAAACAGATGTGTGTTGACGGTTTTCTTATTTTGCTATTAATCTGTAAATGTTATCCACTACCAATTTTAAAATTCAAACATCACCACCAGTATAGACAATATAGAACGATTTTGTAATTAATACAAAGAACAAGTTCATACCAAAGGAATTGTCGTTTTATTGAGAAAATGAGAAAAAAATATTGTAGTGCTCCTCAACATCAATTATCTAAAGTACTGAAACAACATTGTATCGAGTTTGCATTCTCAAAAATTGTTTCATTTCCATTCAAAATTTATATTGTAAAGTATAGAACTAATTGAGCAATTACTCTCAGAGGTCTGAAACGATGAAAGTATGCAATTCATCGACGAGCATACCTAAACCATCCTCTACTCCATTGCCTATTCATTGCTCTCATACCAAATTCTCAAAAAAGTCAACCTCCCCTTCAAATGTCAACGATTGTCATTTGATAATTAAACAACCACGACAAGTATTTTATACACTCATTGAAAAAGAAAAGTCAACATTGAATACAGAGAAAAAAAACCAACTTTTTCAACCAATGACCTCTAAAAAACACTCAACTAGCTCACCATATTTTTGTAAATTATTCGCTTCACTTCCTTCATCAAGAAGAACAATCAACTCAACATCTACTATTCACCAATTTAATTCTACTCATAAACAACAACATGAAATATCATCAATTGGTAAATTAACATCAAATCAATTATTAGAAAGGATGAAGAAAGCATTTGAATTGGACGAATTGAATCGTTCGCGTATTTCAAATGCTTTTCAAAATGTTCCTCATCCAATTCCTGTAACTCTATCAAACTCAACAATATCTAAATTGGAACGTGAAAATGTTGTGTATTCCATTTATAGTCATCCTTCAAGTGTGGTCAATTATAATTTTGAATTACAAAATCCATTACCAGAGCATGTAAAGGAGTTTTTCAATGGTTCTGAGAGAAGAATTGGATATTGTTGTCATGTCTGCTCAATGCATGCCAAGTCAATAATCTATTCGAATCATGAGAAGTTTCAAATATATCATGGAGTGGAAATTGGAAAGGAAGAATTGAAGAAAATTGTTCAAATGTATGGAAATACTTATTCTGGATTGTTGGGTGGAAGAATATGTGATAGACATTATCAACAAATTTGTCTTTTCAATAATTCTATTCTATCCAATGTTTCACTTTCGAATAATGCGTCCAATACTCAACATTCTAGTGATTCGTCTATTGAAGTTCCAAGATCAAGACCTATTCGAACAGTGTCCTCTGTTTATGCCACCAAAAGATTTGCTTCTCAATTAGAAAATATAAAACATTCTCCAGGAAAGAAGACGAAATATGCCACTGACGTTCTGTCAAGTGACGAATATGCCTTGACAACAAGTAGTGAGTCAGAAGAATCTGAAAATGAAGAAGAATTTCCAATTAAAAGAAGAACTTCAACCCGAAGACAACAAAGACAGGATTTAACATCAACTTTTAAATTGTTAATTCAAGAAGAAAGGCAAGACGAAAGTGGCCAAGCAATGGAAGAAACTGCTGAGAGAAGTGACTCAAATTATCAATCAATGCCTTCTCACGTTTCAAATTTGAAGCAGACAACTCTCCAATCAGAAGTTTCGAATAACACGAGCATTCCTTTCAGAAAGAGAAGATTTTTCAAAAGGAATTCCAATTCAATTGCCTCCTCAAAAATTTACAGAAGTTTTGATGTTGAAAATGTTTCGATATTTGTAGTTCCTCAATGTAATGAAACAAATATTGAGGAAAATACCTTAAATACCAGTCAGGTGATTAACGATATTGATTCGAATGGATCATCCAATTCGAATAGAAGTATCTCTAATTCTAATGATATTGATTCGAATTGTAATTCTACCTTGCCAATGATTCAATGTGCTTCTCCTGAGGAACAGAAACGATTGTATTTTATGGACTTTATTGAATATGATGAAGAACAAGAGCAACAATCGAATAATCTGGTAGACGAAACCATGAAAGAAACTGATGACCTTTCTACCAATAAGATTGAACCAAATGAAAGTTCAGCATCTTCATTAATTGGAGAAACACAGAATTTGAACTATCTTGTAAAACTGATGGAACAATTAGTCAATCACGATGACGAAGAAGATTATACACAAGAAAATCAACGAAACAATGGAAGAAGAATCATTAAACGAAAGTAAACTGTTTTATTCATATCTAAAAACAAAATCTCTCTTGGAGTGTTAGCATAAGGCTGAATTGAAATACTTGTTGATCAATCTCAAAATTTTGATCGAGATGGTTTCAACTTTGCTTCCTTCGATCACTAAATTACGAGCTACATTGGTGAGAAAGTTGACAAATTTCACACATGGTATTGTCAGCATAAATCCATTGTTTTACATCACAATCTTCGAATTGAAGATCACTAAATGCGACCAATCAGCAATTCGATCATTTTGTTAGTATCTTTCCTTCAATTAGGTGAATTAACTTGATATCTTTTTACAGTTTTTCTTGGGCTTTGCCACTTATTTATTTTCTCGCTGTTTGTCCAGTGATTTTTTGTAATAGGCGAATATTGTTCAATATATTAAACTCACCAATGGTTGGGATGTACATCCTATGCTTAATTACAACTTGTATTAAGGTCAACAACCGCCAAAATTTTTGATAAAATTAAAATCAAAAAAAATGGCAAACAGGATTGAGGCTATTGTTACTAATAATAGCGAAAACAATTTTGACTTACAGGATCCACACAAAAAGCGGAAGAGAGATGTATTGTTGGAAACCAACAAAACAAAGAAGGAAGCCTCAAAAAAAAAGAAAAAAGAAAAAACGAATGAAGAGAAATCTGTGTCTATTTCCCCACAAAATGAAGGCAAGCTGGCAGTGGCACTCGATATTCTCTCCAGATTCTATGATATCAAGGAGAAATCTGTTGGAAAACCATCTCAATCCAAACTTGAAAGTATTATCAAGGAAAATAATATTTCCGACTTGATCATGCATGATATTGAAAATATGAAATTTCCCTCTCACTTTTCGGTGCGTGGCAAAAGACTTGCAAGAATCATTCAGTACACACTTTATGGATTTGATGTTGTCCTGAACAAAAAACAGACCAATCCTTTATTTGAGAAAAAGAGTGGAGTTATAACGAATATTGAGAATTTATTAAACTCCTATGTTAAGACATGTAACATTACAAATCTAATGAAGGGTTTGGAGCAGGAAGGCTTGACTTTCAACAAGAACTATACAACTTTTCTTCAATCCAAAGAACAATTGTTCAATGATCAATCAAAATTATCAAGTGAGGAAATTACAACACTCACATTGCAACTTGTTCATGGTACAATGTTGAGCGCAATTATTCCTCCATTTAGGGATTCCAGCTCAAACAGTGAAATTGAATTAAGCAGACATTATTTCTCACCCATAATGAGTTTTACTACTCTTTTTGATGGTTGTACCGGTGGCTCGTAAGTAACTTTAGCTTGCTGCTTATTTAATATCAGTTAGAAGTTGCAGCATTAAGGATTACCTTCGTGTAGGAAGTTTGGAACAGAATCTCCAATCTCGTATTCCTGATTTTAGACCTGACGACCATACTCTTGTTTCTTACAGGAATAGTTTCAAATGTATCAGAATCATAAGAGAAGATTCCTCTGAAGCCTACCATTCACATACAAGCCATACGGATTTTATTGCACTAATTTCACAAATGAAGCTTGCATTATCTCATGCTATTAGGGAGCTTATCAAAGAAGATTTTGAAAGCTGGCATGAAGAAATTATTGTTATGGGAATAACAACTGATAGAACAGAATCACACTTGTATTCAATACACTGTTCTCCAGAAGTTAAGAAGCAAGAGATTGTTCCTTCAAACTATCAACTCACGTTTATTGGCTCATACAAGCACAATATAATCAGCGATAGAATTCAACTTGTTACACGAATAATAACTGCTTTAATTTATCCAAAAATGGAAGATGTAAACAAATATTTAACTACCATGGCCAGCGAGGTCAGATCTACCCAAAAGGATGTTGCATTTCCAAAGTTTTTCCTTGGTAAACCAATATCCTACGACCAGAATTATACTATTAGAAAACGTTCTATCATGAAACAGTGTAGTATTGAGGGGACAAAATATTTTGTTAAATATCTATCAAACAATTCTAACGAAAGTATGGATAGATATCGGTTCTTGACATTGTACGCATCAAATAACAAAAAATTTTCATTTACACTTGCAGGCACCTGTATGAGTGGAATATTTGTGAGTGGTGATGCATTTCCCAATATTATGGATGTTTTTATTGATTTTATGGTTCAATTGAAACATTTAACAGCTAATTTACTAACTCACAATGATATCAAACCAGAAAATGTTGTACTATTCGATGGTCGATGGTTCTTTATTGACTTTGAAATAGCAAAAGAGTATATGGTTGTCGAGAATACATATGTAGATGAAAACAATCAACCTTTAAAAACAGAGAGTTTTTCAAGAGGTAGGTGGTAATGTTTTCTCAATTTTAATTTTGTAAAGGATACAGATCTCCAGAGAGTCAGCAGCAATTTGATTTCACCAGATAGTGATATTTACTCATGCGGATTGATTTTATTGGAGCTATTGAATGGAAAACGACTCTCTGCAATGGAGGACAACACCATTCTTCAAAAGTACTTGGAACAGGTGCATCCAAGAAACCAAGACGAAGAAACCATTCTCTCAATTCTTCCTCACATGCTTATCTCTGATCCTGCACAGAGATTGTGTGCTGATGATTTGTTACACCTTGCTTGCTCTCCTTCAAAGGCTCAAAGAGCAAAGTCTTCTTGTAGATTCCTATTTTATGGACAAGGATCGTTTCAAGAGAACTTTTTTCAACTTCTCAACAGAAAAGATGTCTAAACGACTAGTGCAATAGGTTCAACAACATCACCAATATTGAGGCAATCATTCCTCCATTTAGGGATTCCAACTCAGGTAGTGCAATCCAATTTAGTAGAACTATTTGGCACCTATTATGAGTTTTACTACTATTTTTGGGGTTTTTACTGGTGGCTAAGCATCTTCTGATTTTTCATATTTTAAGTTAGAAATTGTATCATTAAGGATTACCTTCATGTAGGAAGCTTGGAAGTAAACTATTTTATTCACGTTATAAAACTAAATCTCGCCAGTGTTAGCATAGGTACGCTGAATTGAAATCAATTTCAAAAGAATTAAAACACGTTTCGATTGATAATAGATCTTTACAACAGAGTTTGAAACACATATATGGAAAACGTGATCAACTTTCTCAAAAAAAACTGGCTGGGTGACATGACGGCACGTTTTCAACGTGATGTTTTCACGTTTCATGTAAAGTTCAACTAAATTTTTCAAACAATTCGCAAAAAACAAAAAAAACCAACAAATTAAGGTTGAATAACAAAATTTTAAACAGCTATACACACTAAGATACCAAGAGTATTGAATTGGAATCCAAGCTGACTTTCTAAATTGTAACTTTCAATACTATTGAAGATCATAAAATAGTTGCATCTATTAATATATTACTCAAAAAACTTTACAAAAAAAATGACAGAACAACTACTCACACAATCGCCCGTAGCCAATCGTCAGCAAAATAACAATACCTACAAAGTTTCGGAATCTGATGTTTCATCATCAATCCGAGGACCATTTACTCTAGATTATATTGAACAGCAGAAAACTAAGGAATTATTAAAATATTGTGTGGCTTTGAGGGATTTTAGGTTGAGAGATAAATACATACAACCCGAAGAGTTGCAGAATTGGGAGATTTGTAAATGTCAGTTTATGTTTAAGGAACATAACATGATGGAAGTGTTGGTGAGTGAATTGTATAGATTGAAGGGATATGACAGAACGAGTAATGTTATTGGTAGAAATTCGAATACTAGCTTGAATGCATTATATAATGAAGTGAATCAAGCACTTCAAGATTTAAAGATTGAGACTATGAAATTACAACCAGTTTATGAGGATTCCAAACATAAACATTTGATGGAAATGTGCAATAATAATGAAATATCGACATCATTTTTCTCCAGAGAACAAACACCAGTGGAATTAATATTTATGGAATTCTCCAATCTTGCTGAGAGGATTGTGGAGCTTAATCAAACAATTATTGAGCCAATTATTAGAAATATTAGTAAAGCTAGTGGTAATTACTAAAATTAGAAATTGTTCTGCAAAAGTTTCTTCTTTCAATGTAACCTTAAATATAACCCATGCTTCCAATGAATTGGTTCCGTACCACTTCAATCTCTCAATAAACAAAAACTTATTATTAACATTAACTTCTCAACTATTTGAAATAACGTTATGAGATTCAAAATAATAAAAAACAATTTCCAAATTGAAAAAAAAACCAACAACAATTCACAGCAAGGGAATTTTTCTCTCTCGTTGAAGATAACAACAACTCTGAAACTCTAAAAACTCTCTCCGAAGGAAATATCGGATTTTATAGTAGGTTTTAAGATATACTAGTATTCAATTCTTACGCATCATCATCATCAAATTAATATATTAATATATTAATATTAATAAATTAACAACAACAATTAAATAGCAAAGATGCCGAAGAAGACTAAAAAAGAAATTAAAGACGAACGATTAAAATCAGCACTTGCTGATGAAGATTCTGATTCCTACGATGAACAAAGTGATGTTTCTACATCAACCATGGCTCGTCATGCCACAATGGAACAACTTGCAACAGAATTATCGGAAGGAATTGAAAACCTCACAGAAAAGGCTGCTGCTAAACGTTTGGAAGGCTTGACTACTATTTGCAAAATTATGAAATTACGTTATATTATTGAAATTCTAGGTGGACAATTAGAATCTTTAATTAATGGTGCTATTCAATGTTGTGCTAAATCTACATCAGCAGAAGAAACAATTTTAGCTTTTAATTTATTTACTCTTATTTCTACAACTATTGGAGGATGTTCATCTGCCAATGACCAAAGAAACTTGTTTGGTTCCAAGTCTTTGAATACTAGTAAATCAGCCAGTGTAATCCTCACTGAAGATAATAGCTTGAGAATGAAGGAAGTATTAACAAGACATGCTGATGCTGCTACAAAGAAAAAGTCCGAAGTTAGATGTGAAGCATTATTCTCCTTGTCAGTATTGGAATTTATGGATTGTTCTCCAGAAGATTTGATTTTGGAAAAGGAAAATAACAAGTTGGATGTTTTTAAACAATATTGGAATGACCAAGATGAACAAGTTGCTTCAACAGCTATTGAAGGATGGTCTTTGCTTGCTACAATGATTCCGAATAAGTATAAGGTTTCAATTCTTGTTCCATCATCATTGAAACTTTTATCTAGTATTATTGCTTCTGAAACTAAAAGTTCTAGTGAAAAGATTGCTGCAGGTCAAGCTGTTGCTCTCTTATTTGATGCTATTAATAATATGGAAGATAGTTCAATTGCTCAAGTAGAATATGATAATTTGGTGACAGCCATGAATAAGGTTGCTTCCATCTCTACTAAATCTGTCTCAAAGAAGGAAAGAGCAACACAAAGAATGAATTTCCGTAACTTTGTTAATACTGTTGAAGATGGTGATTGTCCAGTTGAAGAAATGAACGTTTCTGGTAATGTTCTCTTGTTTGAAAATTGGGATCGTTTGGTTCAACTTGTCAATTTTAAGAGAGTATTGGAAGGAGGAATTTTGGAACATTTCAAATTTAATTCAAATCTACAACTTGCATTTGGAGTTGATGGCATGGATCTCAGTGTTGAAAAACAAGCTTCCAAGCTCGATTCCATGCAAAAGAAATTCTATCTTTCAAAGAATTCTGACTTTAACAAGAATGATACCCTTGAAAAGAATAAGCTCACTAGGCAATTTTCAAATTATGTACAAACTGAAGAAGATTAAATGTATTTTTATGTCTAACAAGTTTTCAAGTATTACTTTTTGGAATAATGATATTGAACTTTGTGGAATTATTTTTGGATTTTTGGACAATATCTTGTTGAATGGAAAACAAACTATTTATTCAAAATTTTCAAATCAGAAGTGGATTCATTCTCATCAGGTAAATGTTTAGCCAATTCGTGCATGGCTGCAACTTCATTAAAAGTCACGGAAGAAAGTGAAGATTCATCAATACTAGCAACACGGTGATTTTCCTTCTCATTTTCAATGGTGGCTGGGATAACTCCTTTCGATTCAAGATCTGAATATTTGAATGAACCTCTCTTGAAATGAGTATAATAATAGTATTGACTCAGTATTAAACAATCGAGGAAGATATTAATGGTCGATTCAGTCAACCAAGGAAGACGACCAAGAAGATAATTTGGTTGAACACTGTAGAGCCAAATAGAGGTCAAATAACACATGTTACCAAATATTCCAATGCTGAAATAGGTTGGCGACAAGCCGTCGGTTGACTTTCTGGAGAAATTCCAATAAATTTGAGGCAATCTACTGCCAACATACATGATTGCACAAATACAACCAATTGTATAGCCAATGATACCTTGAACAGTGTTTGGAGGGAAAACGAAATCTTCCTTTTCTTCCTCTACTTCTTGAATGGTCAAGAGTTTTCTGGAATGTTTGGAAGGTTGACTAAATGGGCTAGTATTTACATTTTGGAAGGAAATTATTAACAAGGTACCCAGTAAGAGTATAATAAATAATGAAACTACTTTGGATGATTGTAATTGTGTGGATTTCAATTCAACATCTTCAAAATCATCCATCTGACTCGATGTCACATTTGACAAATTTAAACTCGACGAACTAATTGGTGAAATTTCAATGGATTTCTTATCCTCAACTTGTTCTTCCTTCTTCTCAACCTTCCTTCCTCTAATCTTTTGCAACCAAACCACATAGTACAAGTATTGGAAAACCAAAATGAAATCCATCGAAACAAAATACGAAGCCAACAAAATTTGAGTAATCAATTGACCACTCAATACACACGCAAGCAAATTACTAGCATCTCCCATCACATTCTGAGCCAAGAATCCAGCAGATAGTGAACTAGCATCTCTATTCTTGAAATTTGCAATAATTTGTGGAAAGAGAGCACACATCCACAAGGCAATCGAAACTAAACCCACATAGAAAGAAGCTTGTTCCAAAGGTGAATGAACACACTCTCCAAAGACATTATAAATCCAAGGAACCATCTCATTTCCAAGAGCATCAAAGGCAGAACACAACTCGCTGCTACTCGTTGCAGTTCCATTATTAAATAATGTCTGATTCGTCGTCATATTATTGAACAACATTTTACATAAAATTCTATATTGAGAAACTAATCTAACTAAATGGTACAACAAAATCAATTAAGAAACATGAGGCATGCTACAATTCTATATACTTGTAGTATTATTAGCACATTCAAACTCTGCACAAAATATGGTGTTGTTTTTTTTTAAGATTTTTTATCTTTGGTGCCAAATTTACTTCTTTAAATAGCTGCAACAATAAGAAGATAAAATTTCGAGTGCGTACTTTTGAGGTCCACACACGCACCCTCTTAAATTGATTGAATTTAAAGGCGTTCCAACCAACATTAATATAACATTCAAACCCAATACCCCTTAAATGATGCACCTGACTATTAATAACCCGACGATATCGGACAAATTTAATCCACAACCAATTAAGTGTGTGTGGAAAGTTAGAGGAGTGGCGAATATGGAGTGGAAAATTCCCTAGAGTGGCTCCATGGAATGCATTAAGGAAGTGGCGATGAAAAAGACTGGTTTTGGTTGGAAGGAGCTATTCACAGCGAGAATTTGGGTGAATTTTCGATAAATTGTAATAGTTTAAAGAAAATATTTTAAAGGAATATTCGAAAAGTGGAAGGTTGATGGGGACTTGGAATGATGCTTGCACAAATGAGATGAGGATAAAATTGTGTTAAAATTGTGAGTGAGGTCCACACTTGAGGGAAATTATTGAAAATTCTATTAGAAACTTCAAATTTACCAAAAAATCTCAGCTTTCTCTGTACAAGATTGTTCAATGTAAATTGATTAGTTTCACATTAATTTAATTTCCATTATTTATTTTCAACATTATTGAGAGTTTCTCTTTCAATTCTCCCAACAATAAATTATCAAATTCACCAAGAATGTTCACCATCTGAAAATATGTTAGTAAATTTGTATTATTATTAAATAACAATAAAGTTTCCTTAATTTTTTAATAAAGTATTTTTAATAATTATTTAAAAAAAATGGCGCCACTACTTACCTTAATATTTACGATTTCAATTTCAGAATAATTGATCATCACGATGACGAACACCACAAATTCCCACTTTACCGTAATCTTTAAATATTACTAATTATTATTCCAAAATTATTACAACTGATTGCTTCCGAAGCCTATTATTTAACGAATACGATCAAACTTCACTTCCATTGTGTTATTATTACAGCAAACAGTCGAACAACAAACACAACCAAGAGAAAAAAAATGTCATTACTGTGCACAGATACAATTTCGCACTGTTTTAATTTTCTACCAATTGATGACATTGTTTTAAACTGTTCATTGGTTAGCAAACATTGGTTCAAATGTTCGAGGAGCAATAATGTATGGAAATATATTTATTGTACCTTGTTTATGGATGATATGTTTGATTGGAGATCTCACACTTCTCGTGGTAAGAAAGACAAGAAATGTGATAAGAAAAAGAAAAGAAAGTATGATGAATCGTCTGATTCGTATTGGTTTGATTTGTTTCGGAAATACATGATATTTCCAACTGTGAGTGAGCAACAGTTAGAATTATATGAATTGGCCATGGGAACAGACATTGCCAAGATTACAGATCCAGAGAAATTACATGAAATTATCTTTTTTATGAGAGGTTTTATGCGTGATTTTGATCATTCACTTGTAGACACTTTCGAATACAATTGTTCGAGAGTACATGATGAAGTTAGAGGAAATTATCTAATATTGGCCATCATATTGACAGTCATGTTTGGCAAAAGAAGGCTGCAATACTTTAGTGATTGGGTGACAATTTCATTGCATCAATACGATTCACAAGACGAGGATGAGGAAGAATTAAGTGACACGTTTAATTGCCCCCTTCCCACTTTTTGCATGTTAATTCTCTATCCAGAAGCCCAAAATGAAATACCACTCGACGAAAACGATGATGAGAACATTTTGTACAGAGCTGCACCTTACTTGGAAAATACAAGTTCCAACGAAAAGGACTGTTGCTTTTTTACAATGGTAGATAATGATGAAGATGGTGATACAGAGGTTATTAGCACAGGTCAGTCAATTAGTATTTCTAAAAGATATGAAGACGAGCATGGACTTCGTTTCTGTCCAAACTTTTTCAATGCTGGAGCGCGCATTTGTATAGAGAAAATCACAGCTAGATATTATAATAATAGAGAGTTACTAAGGGTGAATAAATACGATAGCTTCGACTATTGTTGAACTGGAAGCTTCAACACAATACGGTTACATGTTTAAATAAATCTAGTTTGCCTGCTGACACCGCAGCGTATTGTGGTTGTTTACCAATCTCCTTAAAAGTTCCCAATAAAACATCTATAGAATTGGATTCCTTATCATTTGGGTATTCGATTATATTGGTGAAACCTCCTCCGTTTTGGAACATTCACCTTAAAAGTTCTCTTAATAATGCTCTAGACCATTAACAACTATGGACAGGGTCCCTCTGTAAAACTTCAGGTTTGCTGGTGCGAGACGTTTTCCGCCAGCACGGTAAGTAGGTGAAGAGAACAATCTGATAGATAAGGGCCATAATCACTGATGGGGTTAAAAACCGGTCTTTAATATTCAGCAGATCGGTCTCGAACCTTTGACTGAAACGGCATGAATGATTTATTTGGGCTGGTAATATGCAGAACAATCATTAAGAACGCAGTAGACAGATGAAACTATAAATGAAATTAAGAATAAACAATAAAAAAACACTCAACAATACAAGAATAATATGATGTTAAAGTTGGACATTGAGGATTTCATTAAGGAATTAATCGAGGTAGGATTTAAACTGCAGCAAGAAGACTGCCTGCAACAACATACTCCAAGTAAAATATCTGATAATACAGTGATGATGACACCTACATCCCACACTCTCACAAGCAACAGTTCATCATCTACGACATCATCAACATCAACAACATGTACCTCCAATGAATATGTACCTTTTTTCACATCTGCTCCATTCCAACATGATACAACTCATCAACAACAGGCACAACAACAGTTGCAACCTTATCTTGATCCTTTCCAAATATTTGAGAGAACTTCTCAGAGGTCTAAAAGCAACCAGAGAACTTCCAAAAACCACAACAATAACAACATGATTGGAAAACCACAACATCGAAATAATGGCTTTACATTTCAAGAATTCCGTTATCATAAATCAGACAAAAAGAAGACTGTGTTTCATACCCTCAATTGAATTGTAATTCATGCATGATAAAATATTACAATTTAATTAAAGGTTGTTTCCAGATTTTGATTATCAGCAGCAATCAAATCAGTTTGCAATTCGTCTGATTCTGCTCCATGTTTCAAAAATTCATCCAGGACATATTGTTGCTCAGCTTTGGAAATGTTAGATTTAGCATGATGCTTGGCACTCAAAAAGTAGCTTTGGGTTGGTTTTCCTTTAATCTCAATCTTCCTCTCCTCAAATTCAAAATCCAAATCATACACTCTCTCATAAGTTGATCTTGATAAATGAATCCTTCCAGGTTGAGAATTTGATTCCATTCTGGATCCAACATTAATAGTTTCCTAGAATGACATGTTTAAATATCAACAATACAGTATTGAAATACTTACACCCCACAAATCATATGCAAATTTCTTGGTGCTATTATTTGTTAATATTTAAATTTCTAGAAACACTTACCCAATCACTCCAGCAATTGCAGCTCCAGTATTGATACCCACACGAATATCTACTTGATTAAAGTCAGAACTGGAAAAGGTATTTGCTTGAACTAATTCTTTCATTTTGGAAAGATTGAATTCTCTAATGACACTAAAAGTTTCAATACTAAATCTGAGTACTCTTTCTGGGTGATCACTAGCTTGCATCTATTAAATTATTATTAGAATTAAAAGAAGAAATGAATTATATACATACCAATCCTCCAACACAGAAATATCTAAATATTCAAATCCATAGAATTAATGTCATAAACTAGAGTCTCGAATTTACTTACGCATCTCCAATAGTTTTAATCTTTTCCAATTCATACTTGTCAGTCAATTTATCGAATCCTGTAACAATTGTACTCAACATTTGAACAACATCATTGGCACTAAGTGAGCTAGATAATTTAGTAAATCCAACCATGTCACTGAAAAAGCAAGTGATATCAGGCAACTTGTCAGCAATTAATTTCTCTCCCTAAAATAGATTAGATATTGATAAATATAAATAAATGTAATACTTACACTTTTCAATTGTCTGGCAACAGATTCTGGTAACACGTTTCTCAGTAACTTTTCAGAATTCTTCTTCTCTTCAGCTAATAATGATTTTGACTTGTTTTCAGATGTGATATCTCTTATGAAACAGGTAATGACTCTGTTATTATCGAATAGAGTGTAGGAAATGCTCACTCTAGCTGGGAAAGTAGTCCCGTTCTTTCTTATACATTCCAAATCTAAAGTTTCTCCCTGAATGGCATTCTTTTCTGAGGCTAGTGAAGAATCTACTTGAACTCTATTTTCAATCAACTTTTTAATTGTTTCCTCACAATTTGGATTGAAGAGAGACCACAATGGTTTTCCAATTACATCCTCAGGCAATTTACCAAACATTCTTTGGGCTGCAGGATTGTAAACTTCAATATCATAATCATTACATGATACTGCTCCATCTACAGCAGAATTAAGAATGGACTTGACCTTTAAATCTTCAACCTCCTTCTTATTGAGACTGTTCGCGCCTCTAGAGGAGGAAAATATCTTGTGGTATAGAACATAATTTCTCATTTCATCCTTTGCTTCCAAATGATCAATCTTGATATAGTTCAGCAACATTCTCACAGTTTGAACCTCATTAACATGTTTGTCAAAGGAGAGGACAAGTAAATAGCCAAACAGTGGAACTAAAAAAAATCCAATAACTCCAAATATTGTTACAATAGTAGAACTGTTATCTCTTTCTATGGAACTAACGTAAATATTCATAAATTGTTCGAATTCCTTTGCCAACACTTTACAATCAGTGAAAAGTGCATGGAACTCTGGGAATATACTGTACATGTCCTTGTTCTTAGCATTGTGCTTTTCATTGATAATAATTGATTCCAGATAGAGTTCATTCATCTTATCATTCAAGCTTGTACACTTCATGGTAGTCGAATTTGAATTTTCACAGTGAGCTCCCTTGATGAGATTGTCAACCTCAGAAAATAACCCAATTAGTGGCGCAGCATTGGTTGTAATATCGCCATACAATAGCAAATTCCACTCCTTACTAATCTTCTTCTTGATTTCATAAACTGATTCATGATATTCAACAACTTCATCCATTGAAAGTAATTTCTTAGAGTTGATTGAATATGTATCGTACGGAAGAACAGAAAATATTAAAACCTCTCCAACTTTCCCTGTAATATCATGAGCATCTACTGAGATTGATGCAGAACGTTCCACATTTCTCATAATTCTCTCAGTTTTATCAGAGGTAACAAAAACTTCATAAAAGAACATGGAAAAACACAAACAAGTAGTAATGAAAATAAGAGTTGTAAATAACGATGCTCTAAACTTGGGATTGTTGGTAAAGTTGGATTTGTATGCTCCCTCTCCATTCTCTGCATATTTCGTAGCCATTTGGTGGTAGATCTTTCCAAGAGCATCTTTAGGAATTGTCTTTTCAACGAGTTTTAACACGGATTTCAAAGATCTCATTATCAACAAGTTGAATATCAACATTAGACCACAAGATATTACTAGTAATCCCAAAGAGCAGAAATAAAAGTACATGAAAGCATTATTGGTATTACTGACAGTGGCATAGGATCTATCTACAATGTTTGAGCAAAACTCTTTGAATACTGAACTGAAAATATCTCTATTGTGCCAAAAATACATGGCTTTGTAATTGGAGAGAGTATTGTTATACTGCTGAGGTGTATAGGTATTGATTTCCTTTAAAAATTGTATCAAAGTGTTGGTGATTGCTGAAATGGAAGTGTTAAATTGATGTGCAACAGTGTATTCTCCTGGGTATGGACCAATAACAGGATTATAGAAAAGGACACTACTCTCTGAATAATCATGAAACATGTCATCACTCATTAAGTCATTCAGAGCGCTGTTTTGAAGCTCCTGTAATGAAGCTAATACATCTCGAATTCTTTCTTTGTGCTCAGTTGAAAAGTTGGCCGCTCCTGCATCAATAAGAGATTGAGGCATCATCTGTACTGCATTGTTATTATATAAAGTGAATAGTAATTGCTCCATTCTTATGTCTAATTGCATACTCAATGTGGTAATAGAAGGCATACAGGATATTTTGATTAATTTCACATCACTTGTTGAGTTTACCAATAAGGCGATGGAGAAGGAAAAACCAATAATAAACAATAAGAAAAACAGAGCTATAGAGGATATAATGCAAGAGTAGGTAAACTTATTGTCAGAAGGAGTGGCAAGAGCTGATCTGTACAACATTTCCTTTTTCAATTGTGGATCTTCTGCAGCTTCCAATCCCATTTTGTCACCAAAATCTTCCTCAACAAATTCTTTTGAATAACCATTTTCCAATCCGTCAATCTTTGGTTTTGTAGAGTTTTTTTCCATATTTTTGATTTTAGAAGAGAGTGAGGCTGCACTCTTGGAAATTGATGATCTACTGTCTATTGAAGATCTTGAATCATCGTGTGTGGCCCTCTCTTTCAAAGGTACTACCTTATTTCGCATGGAACCTTTTACACCACCAACTGGAGCTTTTGAAATTCGTATCTCTCCTTTTACAGTTTCTTCATTCTCAATATCATTGGCTTCCTGATACAATTCTCCTGCTCTCAAATTGTTAAAAAGAATGTTATCAAGGAATTTGCCATACATTCTTAGAACATTCTTGTCATTACTGAAATCTTTCATCAGATTTTCAAAGGTATTCTCAGTATTAAAGGTCAATTCTGTGATTTTTCTGTTAATTTCCATAACCTTACCGTAATTGATTTCCATATTGAAAAATTCCTTCCAAATAGCTTTGTGAAGAGCTAGAATGGAATTGTATTGCTTTTCCAGCTTGGCAAGGATGTGTTTCACGTCAACAATACTCATTCCATGTGAAGAATCACTGTTTCTTGATTTGTGGAGTGAAGTTTCAATTTCTTTCAATCTTTCTCTCAAAGTTATTCCTGAGAAGAAATTCAATTTTTGTTGTTTAACTCTTCTCAATAATCCCAAAGCATATTCATGTGAACCTTCTTCCCAAATGTAAGAAGCTATCAAAGCTGATGAAATAATCAATTCTGGTTCTGCAAATGATTTGTGTTGAGCAACTGATTTGATGAATGAAACCGCCAATTGTCTATCACTAATATTATATGCATTTGGCGATGCCTTCTTACCAGAAAACATTGCAAACTTTAAAAATAGTCCAAGTCTATTCAGTCTCTTTTGCTCCACAAAAGATTTGAAGAGAGAATGACCTCCCCGCTCAAAATATGTCAATACTGACATTCCAGACCTATCATCAATAGATTTTTCATAACAATCATTCAATAGCATCAACATTTCCTTTCTGATTGAATAATAGAAAAACCGTGTGTATGCCTCCATCAAAACAAATCCCCCTAGAAAGCCAATAATCATCAGACCTACTGGAATGAAAGTAAAACCAAGTCCCATATCCCATGAATCATTTGAATTTAAAAGAAATGCAATCATTGACCCTATTGGTGAAAGTACCTTTGCAAACAAAACTCCACTCCAAATTGAATTTTCCATTCTCACAAAATAAGGCAAAAAGTAAAACAAGCAGGGAGCTATGGTTATGGATAACACAATATGAAGCACTGATCTTCCATACATGTACTGATTTGGAATTACATAATTCAATAAAATTTGCAATTGACTAATTGATAAAAACATGGAAAAGAAGAATGGTGATTCCATTATAAATGGTGATGTGTTTTTCAAATGAGTATTTCCTAATATTTGTCCATAAATAATAGTATTAACAATAGAAATCAAGATACCAATAATTCCAATAACCATCAAAACAATAGAAGCAACTGATTGGCACATTACAGATGGAGCTCTCATCAATACATTCTGAGGGTCATCATAATTCTCAAATGACATTTGTGTGGTATAGTCACAATCGAGAAAGGATGTCATTGCAAAAGTACCAATCAAACACACAAAGAATTGAATATTTCCATAGTAAAATATACAATTTCTCAATAGTTTCATATTTCTACTTGCAATTTCAACAGATTTAGCTGTCAAGACAAAAATCACAAGTCCCAAAATTGAAAAGCAAACAAACAAAACCTCAAAAGCAATTAACCCCTCATAAGGAACCTTATCAATTGACAAGGTTATCAAATAATTAAAAACTCTCCAAATCCAATCGCCATATTCTCCCCAATGAAATGAACCCAACATTCCAATTCCCAACGAGGCCAAAATTACATAAACATTCAAGACAACAAAATAAATGTAATTCTTCATTCCCTTCCGAGGAGTTTTATCTTCAATTGAGACAATCATTGAGAAGATACTCTCCTTCAATTTTATAAGACTCTCCCTTCTTGAAGTATAACTCGATGAAGAGGAGGTAACTGAGGTATTGGCAGAAGAGCCCATATAGTTACTTTCAGCCATTTCTTTCTTGATGATAGATAGAATCGTTAATCGTTACTATTGATGTTGTTTGATTCAATGAATTGGCTTTGATTTTGTTTGATGTTTTCATCTCTTCACTTTTTGAATCACATACATGTATGAAACTCAACTCTCTACACATGTTGATAGGAATTGATAGGTGGGGTTTGATGAAAACAAACAACAGTTTGAAAAGGCTCGTAGGAACCTATAATTGCAGGTTTAAATATCTCCTCAAAAAGGTAGGATGACGGTTGTGTTTTGTAGATTCTGGTGTACCATCACTGGATTTTAGAATAAATTTGTAAATGGTGAACACCATAAGTTGATCATTGGATGACCATTTTTTTAAATATTAAATATATATTTAATTGTTAATAGTATTATGAATAATATATTAAACATTAACTTTCAAAGAATGATTACGAAATTACAATAACATCATAAACCTTCAATTTCCGATGACTCACTTTGAATTTCAATTTGAAAAACGAATTTGAAGTTAAAATTCAAAATTGATAAAAAAACTTTTAAATAGCAAAATCCAACAAGTTTCTTTGATTTCAAAAACACAAAAAAACAAATACAACAATCACTTCCATATATCCCAAACATTTTCCTATCAATATGATTTCCAACTCCAATAATTCCAGTCATTGCACAATTAACTTTACAAAAACTGGTAAAACTTTTGAAATGCCAAAACTGAATGTTCCCCTAGTTGCCGATCAGAATGATCCAACGAAAATGTATTGTCAATCATTCACCGTTGATTCAGATGATCAACAAGTATTGCAATTCTTCAATACCTATGGTTTTGTCGTTTTCGAAAATGTACTAAACCAAGAAGAAACTCAAGCCACAGTGAATGATATCTTCAAAATTCTATCAGATGGTACTGAAGGAAAATTTAATCCAGAAGATACCTCAACTTGGAATTGTTGGCCACAAAATGCTTTGGAACATTTTGGAAATGTTTCAATTCCAAGTATATTCTCTCGACAATTCTTTATGAATCGACAAAATGAAAATGTTGTACGAGCATTTTCAAAGGTATTCCAATTACCAATGACTGAATTGATCGTTAGTCATGACCGTGCCTCATTCTACAGACCTCCAACCATTAATCCAAAATGGAAGACCAAATCAAATGTTCACTTGGATTTGAATCCAGCTGAAGCTCTCGATGAACCTGAGAATGCCACAGTTTCCTATAATGAATTGAATAGGTTACACTATTCATCTGGTAAAGGTCACTGGATCACTGAGAATAATCATGTATGTTCAAAGAGAGATGGTCTGCAAATTCAAGCCCTCATCAATTTGAATGATAATCTGAAAGAAGATGGTGGTTTCGTTTGTGTACCTGGATTCCACAATCATTTCAGAGAATTTTTCGAGAATTCCAATCTTGTAAATGAGCTCGGTAGAGGCAAACCAAGTTTCAGCTTCCAAAAGAATGATCCAGTCAGTGGCAATATCCACCAACTGGCCCAGAGAGTCCCTTCAAAGGCTGGTAGTATTATTATATGGAATCAATTACTGCCACACGGAAGTACCTTCATGGAGAGCACAACTACTGCCAGATTCAGATCGGCCATGTATCTGAGAATGTTCCCAAAGAGTATGCTCCTTCGTAGTGGTGCCTCAAAGAGAAGATTGAACAGAAGAGAAGGACTCAGAAAGAAGATTCACAACCTCTACATTAAGGAAAGAGTTCCATTAGAATTGACTGATTTGGGTAGAATTGTTTTTGATATTGAAGATGACAATAGTGAATCTGTTTTTGATCCAATTCCTCCATTTGCCAATCATTTGAAATAAATTATTCTCTCTCAAAAGAAAACTAATAGAAACATTTTTAATTCCACACACACATTTTCACACACTTTCAAAATGTTATCCACACAAACTAGTTCATTAAAACATTCCGAAAAATTCAAATCCAAAATTTAAATTAAAAAATTTAGGGATATTATTGAAAAATTTAGTGGATTTAGAAGAGCAACATCTTTTCTGGATCTTCGATCAATTCCTTAACTCTCTTCAAGAAAGTAACAGCTTCTCTACCATCGATAATTCTGTGGTCATAAGTCAAGGCAACGTACATCATTGGTCTGACAACAACTTGATCACCAATAGCAATTGGTCTATTCTTTGTGGCGTGCATTCCCAAAATAGCAGATTGTGGAGGATTGATAATTGGTGTACCCATCAAACTTCCGAAAACTCCACCATTAGAAATAGTGAAAGTACCACCTTGCATATCATCAAGGGAGATGGCATTCTTTCTGGCCTTTTCACCCAAGTTAGAAATGTCTCTTTCAATTTGTGCAATTGACTTGCTTTCACAGTTTCTGACAACTGGAACGACCAAACCATTTGGAGTGGCAACAGCAACACTAATATCGACATAATCACGATAAACAACTTCATTACCATCAATGACACCATTGACAGCTGGAACTTCAGTAAGAGCAATAGAAGCAGCCTTACAGAAAGCACCCATGAAACCCAACTTTAAACCATCGTGACGTTCTTGGAAATCGTCTTGGTTAACCTTTCTCAATTCCATAATCTTCTTCATGTCAATTTCATTGAAAGTGGTCAACATAGCATAGGTGTTTTGGGCTTGCTTCAAACGTTCAGCAATCTTAGCACGAATACGTGTCATTTTAACTCTTCTTTCAGTTCTAGCGAGTCCATTGGCAGAAGTAGTTGGAGCTGATGATTGTGTTGGTTTAGCTTCTTCCTTCTTTGGGGTTGGTGTTGGTGTGGCAGTAGGAGTTGGAGTAGAAGGAGTGGAAGCAGTTGTTGTTGTTGTTGTAGTAGTAGAAGGAGTGGAAGCAGCAGCAGCAGGTGTAGCAGTTGGCTTACCATCAGTATCAATGATGGCAATATCCTTACCAACTTCAACGGTATCCTTGGCATTAGCCAAAATAGCCTTCAAAACACCAGCTTCTGGAGCACGGATTTCCACAGAGACCTTATCAGTATCAATAGTACAAATGACTTCATCTTCAACACAAGCTTGACCTGGTTTTTTCACCCATTCATTGATTTCACCTGATGAGATGGAATCACCCATTGATGGAACCTTTATCATAACATCCTTCAAGAGAGAAGGAGTAGAGTGAAGGAAACGTTGTTGGGAAATGAATTTCTTGCTGGCCAAGATGCGTGATGATTGAACGATAGATCTTCTCATTTTTTGTATTAGATTTTTGAAAATTTAAAAATAATAATTTTATTTAAAATATTGATTGTGCGATGAAGAAAAAGCGCCTTTGTAGTCAAATCTGCTTCGGGATTTTTAATTCGGCCATTTTACTTCTGCTGAAACAATCAATTAAATTATTATTGGCAAAGAGGTATGTTGTCAGAGATTGTGGTGAGTGGGGGGTTATCATTGATTGAATTTATTGCAATTTTAAACTATTATTACATGCATAATTGATGTATTGATGATGATGAATTGGTTTGAAGAGAGAATCTATTGGCGAGAAGATAGTTCAACAATTCATGCATCATCGGTATAAAACTGTAAAGAAGATGTTTTTTCTCTCGGGCAATGGTGTTTCAGGACCATGGTCTGATTTTCATTCCAACAATTTTGTAAACATCCAACCAGACTATGACTTTTATTACCCAATGGGGTTGATTGTTAAGGTTTTTCAGTAATCATGTACTGTATTCACACTTTTTGTAATCTTGGTGTGAGCAACAAGGTCTTTGAAAATGCACTTTAGATTTTTAGGAGTTTGAAAACTGTGAATTCATTGAACATCAAACAATACTCCAAGTCGAACCAATTTCTCCATTTGACAATAGTGTATTGTTTTCTTCATCATGAACTACAACTGAATCTCAACGATTCGATTCAACAAACGTATCCTTAGATAACGAAGAATTTCATTCAATACAAGTTTTGTTTCATAAGAGGAACATTACATCTTTTGGAGTTAACACATTGAGTAAATTATTATTGTGTTAGGCTACACACTAAATTGTGAATTTATCTATTAAAGCATACTTCTTTTTCCAACATGCACCCAATTCTCAGCACATTTGTAACACGGGAATGGAAAATAAATGCAAAACCTATCTCGCACTCAATTACAGTGAGGCTTGTAGTTAACGGCTAATTCCCTCCAAAATTTTTATGATTAGAAGGTTCCCACTTCGCAATCCAGGTGAATTTACCAAAACAGCAAAGATTTAAAATTACACGAACGAAAAAAACAACTCGACAACAATTTTGTGTGTTATTGTAGAACATCACAATTATCTTTGAATATCAAATATACAATCACTCTCTCCCCCATTTCCCTGTACCCTAGAAAAATGTTCGGATATGATCAAAAGTTTCTCGATTACTCTGTCCTTGAAACCTTCAACAAATTAGATCAACACGGTAAAATTATGGCTGAATACGTGTGGATTGGAGCAGTTGATCCTATGGGTGACGTAAGGTATGTTTATTCATTCTACAATCATGATGATTAATTCTTCTTCTTCTTTCCTCCTACTGCTTGTTCATAACGACTGTTGGCTTTGTATTTTGGTCAAACTTACATATCGGGGTGTTATTCCTAATTCGCTCTTCATGGAAATTTCGCGTTTTTTCCGTACCTACTATTTTTTGGCTGGTGCAACTTGTCGTAATTATCATGCCCTGACCTTGTTTCTTCCTGTGATGAAATAATCATTTATTGAATACTACTCCTCACCATACTATGAACTGCTTTTTACTCAACGAACCAATGATCATTACACTCCTAATGATGAATAATTATCTTTCAATGTGTTTTGTTTATTCCGCACTGACAGATCCAAAACGAGGACATTAGACTTTATTCCAACCAAGCCAGAACAATTGCCAGAGTGGAACTATGATGGTTCAAGTACTAACCAAGCTTCAGGCCACGACAGTGAAGTCATCATTAAACCAAGAGCTATCTTTAAGGATCCGTTCAGAGGTGGTGACAATATTCTCGTAATGTGTGACACCTATAGACCAAACGGTGAACCTCTTGCAACCAATACTCGTGCTCCTGCTGTTGAAATTTTCAACAAGGACCTTTCTGCCAAGCCATGGTACGGTTTTGAACAAGAATATACTCTCTACAGTTGTGATATGCATCCATTAGGTAAGTAATTTATCATCATTAACTGTTAATAATCAATTCCGTTAAATCATTGAAAATTGATAATTATTCAACAATTTATTACACATCAAATTGTTTCTATTAACCTAAACTCCGATAATTTCCACTCGTCGTTTTATTTAATTTTTATGATTTAAAACAGGTTGGCCAAAGGGAGGTTATCCTGGTCCACAAGGTCCATACTACTGTGGTGCTGGTGCTGAAAAGGCATTTGGTAGAGCCATTGTTGAAGCCCACTACAAGTGTTGCCTCTATGCAGGTGTAAATATTTCTGGTATCAATGCTGAAGTAATGCCAGGTCAATGGGAATTCCAAGTTGGTCCTTGTGAAGGTATTTCGGGTGGTGACCATTTGTGGATGGCAAGATACATTTTGTCTAGATTAACTGAATATTTCCGTGTCATTGTCTCATTCCATCCAAAGCCAATGCAAAACTGGAACGGTGCTGGTATGCATACCAATTATTCAACTGAAGTCATGAGAAATGAAGGAGGATATGAAGCTATTTTGGATGCTATCAAGAAATTGGAAGCTAAACATAAGGAACACGTTGAACATTATGGAGCTGATAACCATTTGAGATTAACAGGAAAATTTGAAACATCCTCCATGGAAAGATTTTCATATGGTGTTGCTGATAGAGGAGCCTCTGTTAGAATTCCTAGATCAACTGAAGCTGAAAAGAAGGGCTATTTTGAAGATAGAAGACCTGCTTCTAACGCTGACCCATACCTTGTTTCTTCGCTCATCTTTAAGACAACTTGCCTCGAATAATTATAATAGTAATTTCGGATTAGTTTTTATAATATAGTATTCAACAATTTCATTTCAATTTTCTGTATATACAACCTCATTGTATAACACAACATTACCCATTGTGTGGGGAGCATATCGAACGATTCGATATCAAGAACTCTTGTGTCAATAAAAAATATTTAATTAATAATGAATTGCTCTCTCTCGCTCGCTCAAATGCTCAAGAAGTAACATCCTCGCACTTTCTCACTCGAAAATTTCAATTGAATCAAATTATTCTTATTATTGAATTATTCCAAAATATTTGTTTGAATCAATTTCATAGTATTTGTTTGTTTGGTCAAGACTTTATGTTCTCGCAAAAAGTAGAACTCCATCAATTTACTTCTTTAAAACTTTTGTTAAAAAAAATGCCAAGAACAAACCCAGGTGCTCAAAAAAAGAGATCCAACTCTGCCATTGACTTGACCGAAGAAGATGAAGTTGTCCAAATCTCAGACGAAGAGGAAGAAGTTATAAAAAAGAGGAATGAAAGGCTACTTCAAAAACAAAGGGAAGCCATGATTAGATACGAACGAGCACAATCAGAGACTAGTTTCAATGAGGAATTTACTCAGATAGCCTCTGAATTGTACACTCTCACAAAACACAATGAAAGTATGGAAACTCTCATCACACAAATTGATAGATTAAATATTAAAGATCCCATGGAAGAAACGGAAAAATCAAAGATTGATTTATTGGCAGAGCAAATCATTAAACAGAGTGATGATATTGTTAGTTTTAATGTTTCCGGACAAGTATTTACCACAACAAAAGGAACCATAAGAAGAGAGAAGGAATCATTCTTGACAGTCTTGATTGATGAAAATTCACATCTTCCATTCGACACGGATGAGTCTGGTGCTTTTATTATTGAAAGAAGTGCCTTGTTGTTTTCCTATATTTTGAAATATTTGCAAAATTTGGATGAATTTACAGGTGAATTTGATATTGATATTTTACCAAAGGAAAAGACTGTGTTGAATGCATTGTTAGAAGAGGCTAAATTCTTCAGTCTTTCCAATTTGATAGAAGTTCTAGATAAGAACAACTCTGCTCAAATGTTGGAGGGTAGATCAGCTGCTAGACTTGTGGATGTTTGGAATTATGGAAATATTGTACGTGATGCTGTTGTGAGTGATGAATATTTGGATCAAATCAAGGAAAGAGTTCAAAGGCGTAAGGAGCAATTGAATCAACAACGAGAAATGATCAAGAATTTGGTAGAAAATCAACAGAAAAAACAAGTTGAAACCAGAAGAAATGAATTAGAATCAAAATTAGCTCAAATCAGACAAGATTTAGGAAAAGTTGATTCCTTGACAGTTTTCTTTTCAATTAGTGGAACAATATTTGAAATGGATATCTTTCAAGTTTTCAAATTCAAAGAGTCCTTGCTTTGTAAGATTGTTCAAAAATATAACATACCAATTCAAGAAACAAAATCTCGTCCAATTTTCATTGATAGAGAACCTGAACAATTCACACACATCAAATATTTTATTGAGAATGAGTGTCTTTCAGAGGATTTATTGTATGGTCGTTCTTATAACAAGAAGGCCCTTCTCAAGGAGGCTGCTTTTTATAACATTACAGATTTGGTGAAATATTTAGATCCAGTTTACAGATTCCCAATTGAAGAGCTTGGATCACATAACGTCGTCATGAAAAGAGAGGAAGACCTACTGAGATCATACTTTGCTACAAATAGAGATCATCCATTGCTGAGCGATCCTTATTTACATTTAATTAATGTATTCGACAATTTGGATACTTTCAAAAAACAGCCATTCCCTGATCGTGGAAACATTTTATTCAAACAGTATTCTGATCATTTATTTGTTGAATCCAGAGAGGAGTTTGAATTTAACTTTAATTGTTTTACGAAAGGAATTTTTAATGGTATGTAATATTGATAATACTTTAAAAATTAATAGAAATGTTAAGGCATGGATTGGAATGGAGTTATTATGGCAGGCGGTAGTGTGCTAGCTTGTTTATCATCTGTTCCTGCTGAATCATTTAGAACAACTCAGAAACCAACTTTTTACCTTGATAACCGAAAAAAGAAGACTCAACTCGAGGATTTAATCCCCAACAATCTTATTGAACCAACTGCAGAAAAGGAAGCAAACTTGCCACATTCTGCTTATTACAAGGCAAGTGATATCAAGATGGATTTATTGGGAAAGTCATATTTTTACAATAGAGCAGACACTCATCCATTTGCTGATTCAGATATCGATATATTCCTTTATGGACTTTCTGAAGAGGAGGCAGAAAGTAAAATCAGACATATTTACGAAACAATTAAGAAGAATACCAAATCAAATATTGTTGTCATGAGGTCATCCATGACAATCACGATGCAAGTATGTGATTTTAGACCCGTACAAATTATTTTGAGATTGTACAAGAGCCCTTCTGAGGTATTGATTGGATTTGACGTTGATTGTTGTGTAAGTTTTCTTAGTATTGCATAATTTTTGTAATATTAGCAAGTGTTTTGCATTTGATGGATCTGAGGTGTTTTGTTTACCTAGAGGTAGAAGGTATGTTTAATTATTTGCTTACTATCATCTAAATTTCATTTCAGATCTGTTGTCCATAGTGTGAACTTTGTTGATATTGACAACAATCTACCACCTATGAAAATAGACTTTACAAATATGCAGGTCGTAAGTATGATAAATCAAATGATAGTCCCTTAACAAAATAATAGGTGGATTTAAGGTGTGTGTTGTTGGGATGGACTCTGATAAAATTGTGAGAGAGGGTTTGCGTCCAGATGATTCATATTTAAACAATTTTCCTAGTTCAAACTTTGATGTAGTAAAGGCAGATTTCACAAACAGTAGAGGTCTTGCCAGATTGCTGCTTTTGGAGAAGAAGTCCACCTATATTCTTGGGGAAAAAGATCAACGAGTAACGGAGAATACAATTATCAAATTTACCGCTGAGGAGAGACAAAAGTTGTTATTTAATAATTGGGATATGGATAGTGATTATCTTGGAGTTCTTATAGCATTCAAGTATAGAGGAGTACCAACATTCTTTTCTGATTTATTGGAAATGTTACAATCTGGCTTAACTCAAACCAAATTGATAATGACTGTGGATGAAATTGAAACTATTCTTAATATTCCTGACCAAAAGCTCGCTCAATGTGAACTTACCAAGAGAATTGAGTGGATTAAGATTGATCCAGGTATGTTTTATTTTCTAAAATCTTTTCCAAATCTAATATTTCAAAAAAAGGTCGACAATTCATTGGATCTTTCAAACCAGTAATTGATAACTTTTTTGAGGATTGTTACTTTACCAATGCAGAACTCGTTAAAAGAAGAAAGGAGGCAAACAAACCAATCCGAGTTAAATGGTACACACAATCTGGAAGCTTGTTTCCAATTAGCCGTGAAAAAGAAACTGAAGAGGCATATCAAATCTATCTCAAAGACAAATCAAAGAATATTTTCACTTACACGTCTCCAAGTAATTCAATAATGTCTAGGTTTTTTACTAACCCAACCATTAATTTTGACACAATGAGATCAGATATTTCTAGATTAGTAAGATTTGAAATACCATATGCTTCTCATATTTACCCAAGCACAGAAGCATCAATTGCTGGTATTAGTCCAACACCTATTCTATCTAATAATCTAGAATTGGGCACAATGAAACCACGTATTATCATTGAGGATCTATAAAAGGTAGAATGTAATGCACTGCGTCTTGCTTGTCTCTTTTCAATCTCTCTACGTTCAAAATTAAAGCTCTGTCAACAATCTAGATATTCGAATATCTCTTTTAAAAAACCTAAATTGTTACAAAGAGATTAGGCAAGACCTTAAAAGGTTTGGCAAGATGAAACACACAACTCATATTAAACCACATGCTAACTGCTGGCGTTAATTGCCTACTCATAAAAAACAGTTCAAATTGTGTTGACAGATTTATTCGAAACAGATTGAAAATCAAGCATAGACAATCGGGTTCAACCACAGCTAATTAACATTCTTCCGCCACAGCAACTACTAGAAAATGGAAACAATCGGCTTTAAATTATTAAACAAACAAAAGAAAAATCACAAACCATCTGTAATAGTTTCGAATACTTCCGAGAGACAAATGCCACACCAAAAGCAAACACTGGATTCATCGTTTTATTCATCAACAGATTCTTCATGCAATATCATGAATGAATCGGCAACTAACTATGAAGATTATCAGTTTAGTTTCGAAAAATTGTACAGAGAAAAAGAAACTAGATTATTAATGAAGGAATACATGGAGATGGGTAAGTAATTAGTTTCTTCATCAACCAACAATTATTTTGAAATCTTCTTGTTTTAAATCTGAACGTTGTGATTGCGACACATTCATACAAATTTGGTAATCGTCTACTTTGGTGAAAATTGTGGATTTTTTGTTCTGTGGCCATGATTAGAAATGCACTCACCTGAGAGCTTTAAATTCTTGGACAACATTGAATCCTTAAAGCATTCCTGTCAAAATATTCCATCCTCATCGACACAACAATTGATTGACCAATTTCTTGATCAAACTTTCTCAATAATTGAAACATTTATTCTACCTCAATCAGAAATGGAAGTGAATATAGGAAGAAAGGAGAAGGAAGTTGTCATGTTGAAATACAAACAACTCCAGAGTCAATGGTCAGAAAGTTCTTCAGCAATTCTTGAACCTGTCAAAATTTGGGAGATTTTTGAAGAAGCAAGAATTGTAATAATGACAGAATTGAAACAGGACGTATTTCCAAGATTTATCAGATCTCAAAGGTTTATTAGCTTTATACAGACTCATGATAAGGAGTTCCTTGATAAGATTGGTTTGAATCTTGGTAGAAGAATTTCAGATACAGTTTCAGTTTCTTCAGACGAATCAAGTGGAAATTCCACTACTCAAAGAAAGAAAGTAACAGTAGATTATAGTGTCAGACCTGAATTTTATTGGAAAAATTATCAAGCAGATGCTTCAATTCATAACATTACTCAACAAGATGTCAAATTTGTTAACTCATTGACATTAGACAGCAATATTTGGCAATTATTTAAAGTTGGTGACAAGAAAAAGGGAGAATACTTTGCCAGTTTCGTTTCCAAACAGAAACTCTCAGTTTTCAAACCTGATTCCACAACAGAACGACAAGTCAACCCTCAGAAATTATACAAATTCACAGGTGTCATTAATCATTCCTTAGAAGAATTGTTATTCACACTGACAAACCCTGCCTACATGATGGATTACGACAATCAACTCAGTGTCGTTGAACAACTTGATTATCTCAATGGATTTGATTATTCTAGCTCAATTTCAGTTCAAGGATCCTCAAGCGCATTTTGGGAAAATGAAAATTTTGATGATTCGAGTTCTGATGGTGGATTGAGTGTTGATTCACAAAGTAGTACTTCTCCAAAGGTATCTCATTCGGATGATAAGTTTAGTTCTTCCATTTGCTTGGAAACTTATCCTTTCGGATGGCCAATTTCGAATAGAGATTTTCTTGTAACTCAATCACTTATATACGAAGCTAAAACTCAACGATATATTTTGGTAAAAAAGTCAATTTCTCATCCAAATTATCCAAAGAGAAAGGGAACTACTCGTGGATTCATTGTTGGTGGATGGACCATTCAGAGAGTGACTGAAAATCAAACAAGATTTTGTTTCGTCAGCTTTACTGATATGGATTTAAACGAAAGGGTGTTTAATCAACTTTGTAAAAAGAAGGGAAAACGTTTATTTGATGGATTGAATCAAACTCTGGATAGAAATTCTGAAAATGGTTTTCTTAGACCTTTATTCTCATGTGGATTATTGGAAACTTTGGAAGATTTCTTGAAATTCTACAAATTACCTGAAACTATTCTCAACGAAACTCAAGTCCAAGTATTGAAAAAGCAAAAGAGCGACAAATTCAAGAGTTTCGAAATTGATGGCTCACTCGTTCGATTAATCTACGTTTCCAGATATGACGAATCCAAACTTTCTTCCAAAGATTTCGACCAAATCAATCAAGTTTCCAATAGAAACAACCAACCACTGAACTTGAGTGGTATCCTTCTCAGTGGTCAAGGCGTTTTCTATCAAGTCCTCGAAGGAGATCCAAAATTCATTTATCCAACCTATGAAAGAATCAAAAAAGATTCGAGACATTTCGATGTTTGGTGTGTGAGTGAGGAAAGTGGAGTTAAGGAATGTGAAAGACAGTTTTCTAATTGGGCCATGAAATGTGTTGATTTGGTGAATAGTGATCATTATTTGGCTCAGTTTATGAGAAATATAATCGAAACCTTGTCGAAACTTTCAAAAGCTTCAAGAGATTCGACTAATTGGGATGAAGAAAATCATGCACTTGATGTGCTCTATCAAGCTTCCAAACAATTGAATGATTCCAGTAAGAATTAACATTCTAATAACAAAAATCTAATAAATTTCAATAATTTACAAAAATATTTATTTCACAATTTTTCAAATAATTTAAGGAAGTGAACGAATCAATTCTTCTCTATTTACATTATATTGAGGGAATTCCTTATTTTCCTCTCTGACGAATTGATCAGTAGCAGTTGAACTTGCATACAAATTTGGAGTTGGTTCATTAATTGCACTTTCCATTCTATTCGATTCTTCTTCAATCAAATCTGAAACATTTTCAGAAATTCCTTCAACTCTCTCAACAAATTCCAACTTTAATTCCTCACCCAAACTAGACAATGGTCCAGCACCTATCATCAAGTGTGCAAATTCTCCCAAACCAACCTTTTCTTTCATTTGATATTCTTCTGGCAATTTAACTAAATATTTCGAAAGTAAATGAACAATGAAAACTTTCTGTTCGAGAATGGAAAATTTGGAACCGAGACAACTTCTAGCTCCCAAACCGAATGGAAGGAAGGAGCATATTGGATGGTGACTTGAAACGTTTTCTTCTTCATGTCTTTCAGTACTGCTATAATTGGCAAATCTTTCAGGATAGAATTCGTCTGATTTCTCACCCCAAAGTTCAGTATTGTAATGAATGGATTTGATAGAGAGGGCAATAGATTGGTCCTTTGAGATCTTTACTCCATCAATAATGTGAGACTTTTTGGAAACTCTATTTAACACGCCAACTGGAGGTGAAATTCTCAAATTTTCATTAATGACACAATCTAAATATGGAAGTTTGTGAAGAGTTGCCAAATCATCTAATTGTTGAATGATAAATTCACAATATTTTCCTTCTCTAATCTTGAATCGATCTGGATAGGCCTCTTTCAATTCCTTATATAGAGTGTCTTGAACTCTTTCATTCAATGCCAAATTAAGTAAAAGGAATGAAAGTGCATCTGCTGTGGTAGCATGTCCAGCAAGGAATAAAAGTAAAGTATTGTCTTTCAAGTTCTTGTCAGAGATTTTCAATGGTTCAACTTGTTCTTCTTCCTCTTCGTGAGCTGGCTCAAAGTTTGATGGGATGGCAGGTTTAGTTTCGCTTGGTTTAGGTTCATGGAATGCTTGGTTAGCTTCAATCATTAAATCCATGGCACTTTCCATGCTAGGATGGACTACATCAATGACTCTTCTATCAACATGTTCGATTCTCTTCTTTTCAATGATGGAAGAAACAAATTCGTGCATAATTCGAATAGATTTTTCCATTCTGTGATTGTCAATAATTGGCAAGCTGGAATAAAGTTTACCACCGAGCATTCTTTCCCAACTATTGATATTCTTAAATACGAATCTGAATGCTTGAAGAACTTTCTCATTTTGGGACGAATCTTGTGATTGACTTGTATCTGAAAGACGGAAATTTGGATCAAGATAATTAAAATCACAATCAAGAGCTGATTCACCAATTACATCGAGTGCCATTCTACTGATAACATCTTTAATCTTGAGAGGAAACTTATTCTCAGATTGACCTTCTTTCGAATACTGTTGCAAATTAGAAACACAATAATTGACCTTTTCTGAAAAGATATTCCAATACTTGTCTACATGTTGGAATGGAGGATTCAAAACACTTCTATTCACTTTCCATTCAGTGCCATTCATGAAAACTAAACTCTTTCCAATAAATTCTTCTTGCTGTGGAGTCCTTAATTTGCCATCCTTTGGAAAATCTTTCCAATTATCAATGAGAATGGATTTGGCAGCATGTGCACTCGAGAATACAACAATTGGCATGTATCCTCTATAGAAAAAGACGAAAGGTTCATTATTAAACTTGTTTCTACTCAATTCGAATAGTTTTTCACCAAGTGGTTTCTTACTCTCATAGAAAATTAATTTGATAGATTGCCAGATGGATAAATGATTCTTGAGTGCTTTTCTCGTTCTTACATCTCTAACGTAGGCATAGCAAATAGCTTCATAGAATTTTACTAAAAATAGTACTGCTATTGGGAAGACCACAAACACATTAAATACTGTTGACCAATTGATAATCATCATTCCCTTTGCTTTTTTTATGTGGAAATTTTTAGAAATCCATCAATAAAACTTTTTCATTTAAACACATCATGTTTCAAATTTGGAAAATATTCAAAAATGGAAATTATAAAAATAGGTAAATTGGTTCTAGTAATTTTCCAAATATTTTAATATTTCAAAAATACTCCGAAAGGGAACGCTAATAGGGATAATAATGCAACATGTCTTTTAGCATTATCCCTTCCAATCACACTCAAATATAAAATTACAATACAAATCAACTCTATCGATGCAATAAACCATCCAAACATGCAAAACCAAACAAAATTACTCAAAATCATTAATAAACTCGTCTTTTCTCTCATAAACATTTGATCTTTGATAAATCCAATCGATCGTTCCTCAATTGACTTGTATTTTCTGTAGGGTTTCGATTTCTTTACGTTGAATAGAAGAAACTTGGCAATTTTCATCAATTGTAACGAACAAGGTAAACAAATCAATAGACAAGATAATATCCAACACACAGAACACAAACCAAAAAAGATGAATGTAATAAATCCTAATCCTAAACTCAACCATCGACAATCCACTTGTGCATCTTGTTTTTGATGTTCTTCTTGTTGTTGTTGTTCTTTTTCTGACGATGGTTGAGGATCTTTTGTGTGATATTCAATGGTGGTGGACATTTCCTGCAATTCAATCTTGTCTTCATCAACATCCATCTCCGAAGAAGAGGCATGTTGATCAACGTGAGCTGTATCTGATGATGCGGCCATTTTTTTATTCTACTTGTTACAATCATATCCATTATCATCCACAGTTTCATTGTTCGATTCTAATTGATGTGGGAGGGTTTATGACAATATGTTGGAGACTGTAAAGAGGGAATGTGAACTAGAGTCGTAATGAATCTTCATCATCGACTCGTTCTGCATTTTCAGAATGTTCTGAGGGTTCTGATTCGAGCATTCCCATTTCCATTCTCATGTTTTTCACGAGCATTGTTTCATCTTCTTCATTGAGGCGTGCTCTCAAGTGGTACATGTCATTGAGTAGGTAACCAAGCATGGATCCTTTTCCTTTAACTTCAAGCTTTCGTTCCTCAAATTCCATTTGTAAATGTTTAACTCTTTCGTAGGTTGATTGTGATACTTGAATTCTTCCCTCCTCTGAATTTGATTCCATTCTTGAAGCAACATTGATGGTATCTCCCCATAGATCGAATGCAAACTTTTTGAAACCAATTACACCACCAACAACTTGACCAGTATTGATACCAATTCTGATTCATAATTGAAATTAATGAACAGTAATAAGAAAACTAATAATTATTAACAAACTACTTACCTAACATTCAATTGTTGAGTAGAAATTGGTTTTGGATCATCTCTGCAAAATATTTGAAGAGCTTCTTTGTATCGATTTGTGTTAATGTCTCTCACCACTGAGAAAGTTTCCATAGCAAATTGGAGAACAACTTCTGGGTGAGTCACTCCTCCATCCAATCCACCACAACAAAAGTAAGAATCACCTATAGTTTTGATCTTTTCTATATTGTACTTTTCAGTCAACTTATCAAATCCGTTCACAACATTTCCAAGTAACAAGACAACGTCTTGAGGGTTGAGAATAGAAGAAATTTCTGTAAATCCAATCATGTCCGTAAATAAACAAGTAATGTCAGGAAGCTTCTCTGCAATAAATGTTTCTCCCTAGTATTATTATTATTATTATTAAATATTGAAAAACTAGTATAACAACTTACATTCATCAATCTTTGGGCAATCTTGGTTGGGAGAATATTTCTCAATAAATTTTCAGAAGTCTTTTTTTCTTCAGCAAGTGCAATTGCTTGCTTTCTCTCAAGTGTTATATCCTTAATGATAAATAAAAAAAAAACTTTCGAATCAATCATGGCCCACGATATATTCACTTTGGCTGGAAAACATGATCCATTCTTCTTCACACAATCCAATTCTAAAGTTTCTCCTCTGATTGTAGTACTGGCTGTTATAGAAGTCATGGCTTCAAAGATATTGCCAAGCTTTTCCTGACTTGCCGTATCAAATAAATTGAAAACAGACAAACCAACAACGTCATTGACATTTCTCAAGAATAAAAGTCTTGCTGCAGGGTTGTAAATCTCAATATCAAAATCACTGTTGCAGTACAACACTCCATCTACTGCAGTGTTGAAAATACTCTTTACCTTATCCTTTTCTTCTTCTTTTTGTTGTTGACTGCTCTTATTCTTCTTACTCTTATTTATCTGATTGTAGAGAACGAAGTCACGAATTTCATCTTTGGCATCCAAATATTCAACTTTAACATAGTTCAACATCATTCTCAAAGTTTGAAATTCATTAAAGTGAGCATCAAGTGATAGGAACAATAAATATGCAGTGAATGGAATTGTTAGTAAACCAAGAACTCCAAATATAATGCTAACCAGAGACGACGTATTGTTTTGAAGTGCCTCAATATAAATATTCAAAAATATTTCAATATCATCAGTAAGCTGGCTACAAATTGAGTATATTCCTGTGTAAAATTCACTAAATGTTTTGAGAGGGTCTACTGTAGTTGTTCCAAATACTTGATTAACTATTGACAACTCAACCAAGAACAAATTCACCATATCATTCAAACTGGAACAGGCTGCATGAGAAGTTGAGGTTCTATTGGAGCAGTTTCCAGTACCGCTTATAATTTCATCAACCTCAGAAAACATGCCTATGAGTGGTTTTTCACCATTTTCCTTGTCTCCATATATCAGCTTGTTCCACAACACATTCAAATTCAACCCAATCTCACCAATGCCATCGTGCAGTTTTACAAGATCTGCATTGGAAAGTAGTGCAGGGTTGTTTGCAGTGGTATTCGGAAGTAACTTGAATGTTATCAATTCCCCAATACTAAACACTCCTTTCTGTGCATAATTTGAAATTTTTACAGACTTGGCAATACTCTTCATAATTAATTCTGATTCTGAAGAAGTGCTGAAAGCCTCCAGGTAAAAAATAGATACACAGAGTGCGGATAAAGCTATCAATAATATAGAGAGGAATGTGAAAGTATAGGATGGATTGCTAAGGTAATCAGATATTGAGCTGCCACTGTCGACTGATTCTTGATTTTTGGTTGTCAATTGTTGGTAGAGTTTGATAATAACATCTTTTGGAATGTTCCTCTCCACCAGTTTGATTGCTTGTTTAAGTGAACGCACAACTACGAAAAACATAACAATAGAAAATGCAAACACCATTAACATTGCAATCAGGCAAGATATGTAGAAATATCTAAATATCAATTCCGTTTCATAAACAGTGGCATAATTTCTATCAACAATGTGTAAGCAGTATTGTTGGTAATTTTGAAGAATGGTATCTCTATTGAGCCACAAGTACATGAACTTAAAGTTGGTAACTGTGGCATTAAACTCTTCAAGACCGTACTTTTTGAATTCTCTTGCTATTTGAATTAGAAGATTAGTGTTGAGGGCAATTGAGGAATTAGATACATCTACACCAGTAAATTCGTCATTATTAGTATCTAAAATATGTGGAATGTTAAACGTATGGCTGTCTGAAGAATAATCATGGAAAATATCATTAGTAAAGGAGCCATCAAGAGCCATTTCCTCTAAAACTTTGAGACCGTGAATAACTTTGTCCAATCTTTCCTTGTGAATATGGTTGTAGCTAGTGTAGTTGTAAATTCCTTTTGCTTCCAAAGATAAAGTACTAAGTTTTGTGTTGCCATCAATAGTTGCCAAGACTTGAAACATTTGCTCTATTCTATTTTCAATCAATAAATATGAAATATCAACACTAGGAAGACAATTAGCAATAATTGTAGGCATATCTTTTGTGGAAGCCACAAGAGCATAATATCCAAATCCAAAACAAGCAACAAATGTTAAAAAAGAAACTACTACAAATATCAGTACCACTATATACGTTGCCTTGTTATCCCCTGAGGTAGCCAAGGCCATTCTGAACAGACCCTCCTTCCTTACTTCTGGATCTTCTGAAGCTTCATTAATCAAGTTCAATATTTCAGGAGTCTCTTCCGTCATTTCTTTTGTGGTAGAGTTTTCTGCAGTAAGTTTGTTAGTGCTCTCCATGACAGACTTTCTAAATGATATGAGTTTTGATGCTGTTGACATGGAAGACAAGGGGCTTTTGGCATTAGAGGGAACAGTTGATGCTGGGCTTTTCACTGGTGATGAGATGGTTCCTATTACTTTTCCTTCCTTCCTTTCTTCTTCATCTTCAATCTCATTGGCTTCTTGATACAACTCTTGAGCTCTGATATTGTTAAATATTACCAGTTCAAGAAATCGTGCATATAATCTTAGAACTGATTTATCGCCACCAAAATCTTTCATCAAATTCTCAAAGGTTATTTCTGACTCAACAGTTAGTTGGGTAATTCTTCTGTTGATTGTAATAACAGTACCAAAATTGACCATTTCATTGGTCATTTCCTTCCAAAGCGCTTTGTGCCAAGATAGGATTGTATGGTGTTGTCTTTCCAAGTTGGCTAAAATATGCTTCACATCCACAAAACTAATACCAGAACCTTCACCTGATTTTTTGTGCAGTAAGGTTTCCATTTCTTTCAATTTTTCTTTCAAAATAAATTCTGTTATAATATTGAGTTTGTGTCTCTTGATTTTCTTCAATAAAGCGAGAGAATATTCATAACAGTTGGTGCCTTCATTCCAGAAATAAGCGGTTGTCATTGCTGCAGCAACGATATTTTCAGGATAGGAGAAGGAACGATGTTGAGCCACTCCTTTGATGAATGAGATGCAAATCTCATTGTCACTTAGACCCAAAGCATCATTTAAAAGTTTCGTCTTTCTACTTGATAATCTAAAGAAAATGTATAATTGTCTAATTCTTTTTTGATCTTCCAATTCCTTGAAGAAAGAGTAACTTTCTCTTTCAAATAAATGCCTCAATTCTGATATTTGTTCCTCGCTGGCAGTATATTCGACTCCATTTTCCAAAAGTTTTACCAATGAATTCTCCAAGCAACCAATGAAACCCCTCCTTATGGAATAATATGATACACCAAGATAAATGGTCATTGCTGCAAAACCAATAAAAAATCCAATTATTGCCAGTCCAATTGATGTACTAATCATTCCTAGTCCAATTTCTAAATCTTGTTTTTGATTAATGAAAGAGGAAATGAGAGGACCTAAACTTGTACCAATTTTAGAAAAGACAATACCACTCATAAAACCATTCTCTGATAGAGAATAGTGAGGTATGAGGAAGAAAATAGATGGAACCAAAGTTGTAGAGAGAACAATATGAACTATAGCCCTCACAAATACCATATCATTTGGAATAGCATACATGACAATTACTTGCAACTGAGATGTTGCCATAAAGTGAGCAATAAAGAATGGACTCTCTGAAATGAATACAGATTTGCTTTTGAGATGGGTATTTGTAATGATGAGATTATACATTGCAGTTACTGGTACCAGTACAACTGCCATAACAATACAAGTAACCAAAAGTGCAATATTAGTTGGTGAGTAGCACATTTTGGTTGGAAATCTAGAAAGAGCATACTGATCTATTGTGTATCCTTCAAAGAACTTCTTTCCTGACACTCTATCACAATCCACAAATGATGTCAGCAAGTACGGTATTGTAAGATGACCAAAAAAGCAAGCAAAAGCAACAATCTTCAACAAGGTTCTAAAGGTTTTCATATTCCTACTAGCTGTCATGGCTGCCTTTGCAGTTGTAATAAACAAAACCAAAGCAGCAAGAATAAACACCATACAAACAACTGTTATTGCAATCATTGCCTCATACGTAATCAAATCTAAGGAAAAAGTAATTGGATAATTCAAAGCTTTTGAAATCCATAATCCATATTCTCCCCATCCATAATCACCCATTACTGATATGCTAACGGCTCCATAACATGAATATAATACAACGAGCAAGTTGAGGATGAAATTCTTCCATGATTTCTGAGGTGCTTTGTCAGTCATGACAATTATTCTATTCAGCAAGGCATCCTTAACTTTGACAATATTCTGTCTCCTCGATAAATAACCTGAAGATGAGGAGGAGCTACTAGAATTATGAGAAGAACTCTGATAATCGGAGTGATGCCTAAAGTCAATCATGATGTAATGGAGGCTTTTTTAAAGTTTTATGACTCTAGAGCAGATTTAACTAACCACCAATTAAACAACCAATCACTGGCCATCATCTTGTGAGCTTCTCTGTTTTTTAAGCAAGCTTGACATGAGTTGATGGCTGCTGTAAATTATTATTCCCGCTATAAAATAAATATAAAATTAAACATCAAAAGTTGGAGATAATTAACAGCAGTACAATTGGAAGTTTGGTTGGCCAAAATGGTCAGGCACTAATTGTGGCAAAATTGTTCCGAACTGACTCTGTTTTTATATCGTTTTAACATTTTTTTTAATTATTTAATCATGGTATATTTAATATTTAATATTTTAATTTCAATAGATTGATTTATATTAAACCTTAAATCAATTAATCAATTACTTGTGTCTAATTACATAATTTAATGTTAAATTGAAAAAGCGAATCAACATCCACCTGTCTTACATGTCACTAATCATAAAAACACACAAAAAAAATGTCATCCTCAAATCTTGCTGAAACTGATGCAGCAGCAAGTGACACATCAAAATCATCGTCATTAACATCTAACCTCCTTCCTCTCCTGGACCAACTTTCTCAATATGCCCTCGATCTCTCACAAAACAAAATCTTTACCACCTCACTCTGTGATTACATTCAAAGTGCCTCACAACAAGTTTTCCTCTATGAAAAACTTGTTCAAACCAATCCAGATAATCCCTTCATTGCAACAATGAATTATTCCGATGTTCAACGTGTAGCCGATGCCCTTCATGAGGCTTGCATCTACTTGATGGAAGTTCTCGGCAAGGATCCACAATTCTCTCGAAAGGAAGACGCTCAAAACGATTACATGTTTGAGCGGGAAGATCGTGAACAAGTGGGAATGATGAAGGTGCGTACCTTAAATATCATTGAAACGACGCGAAAAGCCAATACCAACTCGCTCAACGAGGTGCAAAAGAGAAAAAATTTACAGGCGCAACAAGTCTTTCAATTCGATTTGCACGCTCGTTTGTATAACTCAAAGAATGGTGTTGTTCAACCTGAGGAATTGACCAATGATTCGAGAACATTCCACACCATCGGAAATGAAAATAGTGGAGGAAGAGATTCATTGATGAAAAAATTGTTTCACGTCTTGAATAATCAAATTGCTCAACAGAAGGAACATCAGGCTCAACAACAAGCTTTGGCTGAGAAGGGAAAGGCTGTTATTAGTGCAGCTGATAGTTTGGCTAGAAATTCTGCTCAGAGATTAAAGGTTATTCTTGTGAATGGTGTTACTGGTGTTGGTAAAAGTAATTTCTGTAATACCATTTGTAGAGAATTATGTGATCAAAATCCTGATACCATTCAAAGAAAATTCCATTTGAGATTGAGAGCAAATACTAAATTTTCTCTCACTGTAAGTTTTCAAAGATATTCACAAGTTTTAAATTTATTCTATTTCTAATAACTATTGTACTTAACTGATAATGAACTGATTGGATAATTTATTGAATTGTAATAATACTATTTTGGAATTTTTCAAAAATTAGACAACAGAAGCCATGCAATATGTTGTTCAAACATGGCACGTTGGACCATTGCCAATTCATGAAAAACAACTTCGTGAATTGTATCAACAATCTTTTATTGGTGTGACAACAATTCTCTATTTGGAAGATCCAAGTAATATCCATCAAATTTTGGCTCTCTTACCAAATATTAAATATTCTCCATCCAGTCGTGCATTTGTTGTCATTAGTTCTAGATCACAATTGAAATTGGAATTTGATAGATTCTCAAAGGGTTATATTGACCTTGTAACTGACTCTGGTGTCAAACAAATTAGAGATAGAATTGTTGAGCTCGATACTGCCAATACTGAAGGTAGTATTGCTGCTGATCAACATGATTTGGATAATTTTTCTGATCACGAATCTGACTTTGAAAGTGATGATGAAAGTAGTGGAGAAAGTGATGAGGAAGAAAAGCCAACCAAAGCAGGTAAAAATGACAAGTATCACATTAAAAAGACTCCACAACAGAAAAAGATGGAAAAGGAACTCAAATCAATCTTTGGTAGTACCAAGAAGAAGACATTTGCCATTCACATTGGTATCAAGGATGACGATGAAAAAATTCCAGTCTTCCAAAGACACTTTGATGTTATTTATTGTACATTGGAACCACTAAGTTTTGATGGAGGTGCTGAAATGATGCAACACCTCAACCCACAACTCCAAAGTGACGAGACAAGATCTGTCTCTGCTTTGGCTGAAAATTTACCAATATTTATCAAAGTTCTCACCAGATCTCAAATGCTCTATGGGGGTGACCTGTCTGATTACTCATTTGCTATTGGTTCATTCATGGATAAGTATGGCAACACTGATTTCCCACAATTGAGAAAACTTTGTCAAGGTTTCTTTATTGGTATCTGTGAAAAGTGGGACAAACAACTCAGAAATTTTGCACTCAAACTCTCAATCTTCCCATTCTCTTTTGATGCTGTCAGTGTTGGACTCGTATTGGAAACTCCTCTCAATGAAACATTACGCTACCTCCAATATTTGATCTTCTTTGGTTTGATTGTTCAGTGTGAACCTGGTAGATTTAGTATGCATGACTTGGTCAGAGATACCTTCCAAATTTACAAGGATGAAGAAATGAGCGATAGAGATCCACTTAAGAATGATATTGCCGAATGTGAGGAAAGATATGTCCAACACTATTTCAACTTGTTGAGATTATACAATATGCAACATGAATACTCTGGTATTATTTACATGCCTGGTCCTGAAAGGTATGACATGGATATTGAAAATATGAAATATGTTGTTGAATTTTTGAAAGATTTGGGCAATACTGACTATGTTGATGCTCTTAACACTGGTAGATATATTTTCAGAAATTCAATCTATGCTATTGATAGAGGTCGTCTCTACACATTCCTTGAGAGCAGTGCCGCAGTCGATAAACTCCCTGATGATTTTGGAAAGGCCAACTTTTTCGAAGGTTTTGCCATGATTTACTTTGATTTGATGGATCACAAGAATGCCTACATTAAGGCAAAGAAGGCCCTCGATTTATTAGAGAATGCTTGTATTTTGAGTGATGTACCAAGTGACGAACTCAAACAATTACCAGTACTTCTTCTTGCTGGTGAAATTGCCTTTAGACAAAATCAACAAGATATTGCTCTCAGATTCTTTGAAAAGATGGTTACTCTTGCCAATAAGTATGCTCACGACTGGCAAAAGATTACAGTGGAAAAGAGTAGTGATCCGTTTGCTATCGTACAAGGTTTTGAGGAAAATGAAGTAATTGTCAAGGATATTTTTATTGGAAAGTCTTATATTTGCCAAGCCAAGATTTACATGCAAAGAGGTGATGTCAAGAATGGTAAAAAGTTCTTTGAAAGAGGTCTCACCATTATGCAACGTATTTACCATCGTTACCATCCATTTATCAGTGATGCTTTTGCTTCCTATGCTCAACTTCTTCGTGATTTCAAATCAAGTCAGTACTATGAAGACATTTGCAAGTACTATAAGGATGCTATTGAAATTGATACCAAGATTTTTGGTGAAGATTCATTCTCTGTTTGTGAAAAGTTGGATGGCTATGCTGTTGCTCTCTTGATGCAAAACAATTACGAAGCTGCCGAACCAATTTTCCAAAAGACCCTCATTACTAGAAAGAGGTTCTTTGGTGAGAATGACATTACTGTCAGTTCAACCCATAACAACTTGGCTGTCTGTTTAAAGCACTTGAGAAAGGCCGATGAAGCCAAGATTCATTATGAAGCCTCTCTCAATATTTTGACTGACTTGTTTGGTCCAAATGACTCTAGAGTTGCTACTATCAAGACCAATGTTGCCAAACTAAAGTTGGAATTCTCAGAATCATATGAAGACGCTGAAAAGACTTTCCAAGAAGCTCTTGAAACATTGAAAGATGAGAATATCCATGAAAAGGGACGTCAAATGGCCAGTACATTGAACAGTTTGGGTGATGCTTCTCGTCAAAGGCAAGACTATACAAAGGCTCTCGAATACTATGAACAAGCTATGGCTATATTGGAAGAAGTTAAAAAGAAGGCCAATACTGAGAGTACTGAATATTCTGAAGTTATTTCTGAGAGTGTGAAAATTCTCCTCAGTATGTCCAACTTGCACTACGACAAACAAGAGTACAAACAAGCTGAAGAATTATTGGAACGTGGTTTGGAAATTATTCAGAAACATCTTGGTGGCGAGAACCATCCTCTCTATCCAAACTATCTCAGTTTGGCAGCCAATACCAAACTTAACAAGAAGGATTATTCAGGCGCTGAAGAATACTATCATAAGGTTATTGAAATGAAGATTAAGCAAAAGTTACCTCCAACAGGTATTATGCCAACAAATCAATCTTTGGCTGTCTGTTTGGATCGTCAAGGTAAATATGCTGAAGCTATTGAACAATACCAAAAGGTCTTGAACATTCTCAATGAAAGCTTTAAGGATGATTTGGATAAGCAAATCTCAGTCATTAGAGCTATTGCAAGTGCCAGTACAAAGAAGGAACCAAAGGATTTTGCTACTGCTGAAAAGTACTTTGCCGATGTTGAAAAGTTAATTGTTAAAAAGACTGGCTCTGACAATAATATTGAATATGGTGAAATTATGAGTGATTTGGGAGCTTGTAGAATTCAATTACAAAAGTATGAAGATGCCATTCTGAACTTTGCAACCTGTGAAAGAATCTTTTCTGAATTCTTTGGAGACAATCATGACAAGACCATTACTGCCAGAGAAAATGTTCAAAACTTGAGAACTCTTATGCAACAACAAAACATCAAGCAAGGATGCCCATGTACATTAATGTAAACATTATTAATAATAATAAAATGACAATATTTTGAGATCCAAAAAAACTGTAGATGATTATGGAGGTGAAATATTTCACATTCATATCGCCGTTGATCTATTTCTTACTACTCTCCAATGACGGCTACACGAGTAGTGAAAGCTTCAAAATAAACTGTTTTTTGTAATCTCTATCTCCTCAGCATCCAACAACAGTAACGACCAACAAGAGTGAAGATCCATATAGACAACGCGGAGTAGCTGTTAATACAGCGTTTTGATGTGAATGAACCAAACCCATTAGAAAAAACAACTTGAAAAAAAAATGTTCAAGAAGATCAACACTCCACAACTCATCAACAAGACCGCTTCCACTGGTGCTCGTTTGTTCTCTACCAAGATGAACAAGCAAAGTGTCAAGAAGGTACCAATGATCATCAATGGTGAAAAGAGAATTTCCCAATCCAAGGAATGGTACGAAATTCACAATCCAGCCACCAATGAAGTCATTGCTATGGTCCCACAATCAACTGATGCTGAAATGGCTGAAGCTGTTCAAAACTCAAAGCAAGCCTTTGGTGAATGGAGAGATTGGAGTGTTTCTCGTAGAGTTAGAGTCTTGTACAAACTCAGACAAATGCTCGAAGATAATACTCAAGAATTGGCTCAAATGATCACTGAAGAACAAGGTAAAACTTTGAAGGATGCTGAAGGAGACATTTTCCGTGGTATTGAAGTTGTTGAACATGCCTGCAATATGTCTGTTCTCCAAATGGGTGATACTACTGAAAACATTGCCAAGCACATTGATATTTACAGTTATAAGCAACCTTTGGGTGTTACTGCTGGTATTTGTCCATTCAACTTCCCGTAAGTGTTTTTATTCACCATGTGTTTTAATTCTTATTCTAATATCCAATGATGATGATGATTTGTAAATTTTAAATTATTATAATTTAACGAATTGATGATGATCAAATATGCATTATGCAAACAATTAAAATGCATTATCAAATAATGATCTATCTGATGATGATCCTATTTCTATTTGGCTTGTTTGGTGATTCTTTCCCTTCATCATCATGACCAAATATATTTTCATCATGATGCTAACCGACAAAATATTGGACCGATAATATTATCTCCTTGATGATTCACACTATTATCTATATTTGTGTATAATTATTATCCATCCAACAAACAATTATTTGTTGTTAAATAATAATAATTTTAACACACACTTGTTGATCAACAACAAATTCACACAACAATCAATATCATCATCATCCTGCTTGTGAATACATAATAATAGAGCCATGATTCCATTGTGGATGTTCCCAATGGCTGTTGCTACTGGTAATACTATGGTTTTGAAGCCATCTGAACGTGACCCAACTACTGGTGTCAGAATTGTTGAAATGGCTTTGGAAGCTGGTTTGCCAAAGGGTGTTGTCAACGTTATTCATGGTAAGAAGCAAACTGTTGACTTTATCTGTGATGCTCCAGATATCAAGGCCATCTCATTCGTTGGTGGTAACACTGCTGGTGAATACATTTATGCTCGTGGTACTGGTAATGGTAAACGTGTCCAAGCTAACTTGGGTGCCAAGAATCATGCTGTCGTTTTGCCAGATGCTAGAAAGGAAGATACTATTAATGCCTTGTGTGGTGCTGCTTTTGGCGCTGCTGGTCAAAGATGTATGGCTTTAACTACTGCCATTTTGGTTGGTGAAGCTAAGGCATGGCTTCCAGAAATTGTTGCCAAGGCCAAGACTTATAAGGTTAATGTTGGTTCTGATCCAACTGCTGATGTTGGTCCATTGATTTCACCTCAATCCAAGACTCGTGTTGAAAGCTTGATTGCTTCTGCTCAAAAGGAAGGTGCCAAGATTGATTTGGATGGTCGTGGTGTCGTTGTTAAGGGTTATGAAACTGGTAACTTTGTTGGTCCAACCATCATTTCAGGTGTTAAGAATGTTCACACTTGTTATAAGGAAGAAATCTTTGGTCCAGTTATGCTCATCATGACTGCTGAAAATTTGGATGAAGCTATTCAAATTATCAACTCTAATCCATACGGTAATGGTACTGCCATCTTTACTAGATCTGGTCCAGCTGCTCGTAAATTCCAATTCGAAGTTGATGCTGGTCAAATTGGTATTAACTTGCCAATTCCAGTTCCTCCACCATTCTTCTCATTCACTGGTTCAAGAGCTTCAATTAGAGGTGATTTGAACTTCTATGGTAAGGGTGCTGTTCAATTCTACACTCAAACTAAGACTATCATGTCTAACTGGAGAGAAGATGAAAGTGGTATGAGCTTTGGTACTGTCATGCCAACTTATAAGAAGTAAATTAATGTAAATTAGAAAGAATGCGGATTATTTATTAAATTATATCAATTTCATTGTAATTATATTTTCAATTATTTTGTTGGTCATCAATGAGCCTTGTCCGAAAACACTATTTTCTCTAATTTTTTCGAAATAAACAACTTGCGATTCTTTTTGACTTTCGAAAAGTTTTTTATTTAAATAACACTGTTGGAAGTTCCTTTCGCACAGGTTGGAAATCGAGTGACAAGTTTGCGAATTTAGCACACACTCTTACAATTCGTTGATGTTTCCAAAGCGCGCCTCTGTATGTTTGCTTTAAAATTGCGAACTTTTTGATTCTTCCAATAATCTGTTCAACAACAACTCTTCCTTTACCTAAGACTTTGTTGTAAATTTCGCTTTTTGCCGAAAGTTGTTCACCTTTTGGTGCTTTGTCAGGAGAAATACAAAATTCTGCGTTTTGATAAGCTTTGTCGCCTAATACTCTTTCATTTTCAGAGAAATGCTCTTTGTTCGTTTGTAACCATTCATCCCACATCTTCTTATCGTGCTTTCTTCCTGGGAACGCATGCGAAATGTTTGCAATTTTTCCTGTTACTAAAGTAGTCACAACTTGATATTTGAGTGCATGCATTCTCTTTTTGTAAGAATAATACATTTTTTGCTTTTTCCACAAACCTCTTTTTTGCTCACGTGACAACCCTTTCTTTTTTCTTCCTGAAGGGTTTTGAATCCTACATTCCATTCCATCAACAACAGCACGAACACGTTGAAAAACACCACTTGCGCCTTGATTTTCTTCTTTCAACCGTTCCTCTAACTTTAACTCAGGTAATTTTTCATCAACAATTTCTAAAGTTTTGTCAATATTTTCGAAATAACTTGATCTTGATACATTCCAGTAAACATTATGAACCAAACTTTTAGGATAACAATTTAAATATTCCATAAAAATAAGAAACCACATTGGTTTAATATCATCAACTAAGTAATCATCGTACACACGTTGTAGAATCCATGGCTTGAAGCCAAATGATGCAATAAATGACTTCACGTTGCCAACACGAAAACGAGCTTTGTACTCTTGAAATAAAGATCGCATTTTTTCGAAAGTACTTTCGAAATTAATTTCGTTCACTTTCTCATTTTCGAAACTAAAAAAAAAATGGCAAAGAAGAAACAAGCTGTAAAGGAACCATCTTCGCAAGAAGATGAAGAAGAAAAACCTAAGAAAGCAACCAAAAGATTTAGAGAAGAGGATTATGCTAAATTACAAAAGTATTACTCTGAACATTACGATACTAAAGAGGGAAATCAAGAAGATGTCTTCCGTTCGTTTGGCAAGTTGCATGGTTATTCCGTATCGCAAGTTCAACGTGCACATTACAGAAAACAAAAAAAAAGTAATAACAAAAAGAAGAAAAGCAAAACTTCTGATAATGTAGAAAAACAAGAATTTGAGGACAGATTCACAATTTATGCACAAGAAATGGATGATGAAGAAAATAAGAAGAAGAAAAGAAAAACCGACACCAATCATGAACCGAAAGCAGATGATGAAGATAGCGAACATTCATACGAGACTGAGTCATATGAAACCGATTATTTATCCGATGAAATGATTGTGCGCACACCTTCGAAATTAACAAAAACAGTCAATATCAACGATGAGACAACATCTTTATTTCGTCCCTACAGATTCGAAAACGCTTCCTATTGTTTTTTTGTCTACAGATACCCAACTTGGACCTCTTTTCTGTTCGATGGTATTGACATGTCAAAGAAAGTGAAGACATTTTCCATCATTGTTACAATTCATTCAAGCATTGACAAGAAAGTAATTTCTGATTCTTTCCCGAATTTCGCAAGTGGTTTGGTAGAATTAACTGAAAGAAAGGATGAAAAATTCACAATTTACGAACCGATTCCGAAAGGTGTTGATGTTAAATCTGTGAAAAGTGGTCTATTCGAATTGCAATTACTAATTGGTGATAACAGAGTGTTCATGGTGTTCTTTGAAAAGAAAGTACAAAAGTTCCAACCATCCACAAGTCAAGCTGAGTTTTCGAAATTCTTACTCTCTTCCGGGATGGCACCAGTTTCTGCCAGAAGTAACACTTTCAGTGCGCCAACACAAGACAAGAAGGATTCTCAAAAGTGACAGAAAGCGAAAAGAGCGACAAAGAAGAAGAACAACAAGATCAACCATAAAGCGGCTTTATTAAATGCGTGTACTTTCGATTTTACATATTTACCACGAAAATTCGAAAAAACAGGTTTTCGGACAAGGCTCAATATCTAGATATTGAATTATAAAACCAAATGGAATCTAATTATTATTCAGATAGTCTCACAGATAAATGATAAATAATAAATATTATTAAACATTCAGAATCTTGTTAAATAAGCCATATCCTAATCTATTGAGGATGAAAAGAGCACATGAAAGGAGCAAAAATTCCTCACAAGGATGAACCTTTTACAAATACTGATAATTGACACTTAACAAAAATCATTGAAAAAAAAAATGTCAACAACAATAGATAGAAGACAAGAACTCGCTGCCAAGGAATCCAGGGCATCAAAGGAAGAAATTGATACTCTCAAAACTCTCTTTGACAAGCATGACACTAATCATGATGGTAAACTTGACAAGAATGAATTAAAAATTCTCATGAAAACTTTTAATGAAGAAATGACAATGGCCGATATTGAAGATATGATCAAACAGGCTGATTGGGATGAAGATGGTCACATTGACTGGGAAGAGGTTTGTGTTTATTTTATTCGAATGGTTTATTCTAATTATTGTTTCGAATAATAACAAATAACAATAACAAATAATATTTTAACATTGGATAACTATTAAAACATCATCATCATCATGGAAATATAGTTCAAATATCAAATGTTGGATTAATTGTAAATAAAATTGTAAGATATTGAAAAATATCAAAAATTCATCTCACAAAATTTATTTAAACCTAAAAAACACAAAATTAACATAACTGAAGACACTCCTTTTCAATACAATTCAAAATATCATCTTTCCATTGTATAGCTTCTTCCTCATTTTTGAATCGAATGCAAAGTTTAGTTTGTTTACATTCGAAATCACCTCTAATGAAAACTAATTCACTACTTTTAGGAGATTCTGATCTGATAGAATGCATAGGAAGTCCATGTCTATTAATTTCATCTAGATGGAATTTTAACACTTTCATTTTGAACCATCTGTATTTCCTTGGATATTTAATTAGAAACATGTCATGGAAAAGGAATAATTGACATGGTGTGATATTTCCGCAATCTCTGATACGTTCTGCCATGAAATAGGAATGGATTACTTTACGTTTGTGAGTTACTAGACCATCCAGTGCTAAATTCTTTGAAATATCTAGTAATTGTCCTAAATCATTCGAAACTTCCAATTTGGATTTGGAATACTTGTTCAAATCTCGAAGAATTATCACTGATTGACCTAATTTCGCATAATTCTCCAAACCAATATAGAATTTGTCAGAAGATTTCAATACCTTTTCACAGAGAGCTGAAATCTTTTCAACAAATTGATTTGGAATTGAGAGAAAGGATTCGAATTTCCAAAATATTGTCTTTCTTTCGACTAGTTCCTTTTCTACCTTTCTAATGGCTTGTTTCAACTCTGAAGATTTTCTCTTTTCACTCTTGAACACTTGAATGATAGAGAAATATTGATCAAAATAGGAAATGTAATTGGATTGAGTCAATTCGAATAATTGGTGAACTAATTGAATGAAAAATTGTTCCTCTCCCACCAGAATAATTCCATTCCTTGATAATAACGTCGAAAGCTCACTAATCACCTTTGCATTCTGCTCTGAAATTACCTTTAAATGATCAAATGCCACATGTCTTTTCAAACTCACTTCATCACTCACATTTTCAATAACCTTAATGTAATTTTCTTGGAAAATCTGAAGTAATAACTGATACTCTTTCAAGGAACATAGAAACTGTTTGTAAAGATACTGTCTCTTGTCAAGTAGAACTAGAGAATCCTTGGATGATTTTTGTAAAGTCAACTCGACAGGTTTTGGAGGTGGAATTGGAATTGCATTTCGATCCAGAATTTGAGATCTGGAAGAATCTAGTTTGATTTCGGATAATTCTTCAGAAGAAGATCTGATAGTGTCCAATGAAGTGGAAATTTCACTCACTTCGTCCAATGTTGAGCTTCGAATAGATGAATTTTTGGAACTCAAAGATTGAGAGGAAAGTGGACTAATTATTGATGATGAGGAAGATGCATGTTTGAGAGATGATGAACTTCCGGTAGAATCTTCATTAATTGGAAAGGAAGAAAGCTTTCTCACTAGATTCGAATCAAGTTTTGGAATTGAATTATTCGAATTTTCTTGAATTCCTGCAACTCGAACAATGGAAGATTGATTATTCGAAAGCAAACCTTGCATACTTGATAATAGACTTTCGGAATGTTTCTCAAACAATACCTTGTTAAGCAAATTTTCCTTCATTTCCCAAACTTGCTTTTCTAATAACAATATTCGATTCTTTTCCTTCTCAATTTCTAATAACTTTTCAAAGTTATTATTTGATTTATCCATTCCATAGTTATGATTCTGGTAATACTTGAACGAATCAAACTGACTTGAAGACGAATTAGATTTGACTAGTGTAATTTTAGGAGAATCTATTCGATAGTCACTTGTCTTTCCTTCTCCCTTTCCGAAATCCTGTTGTTTATTCTCCATTCTTCTAAGATCTACTCCCGAGAGCACTCTTTTGTTTTGAAAATTCATTCTTCCTTTCCACAATGAAAACTAAACCTATTCGAAAAGATATCCTAATTTGAATATTGTTTCAAATAAAATCATTTACAATAATTAATCTAAAACCTTACTAGTAATATCAGCGTTTCGTTCAGTCGTTCATAAGGAAAAATTTATGTAAATTTTATCAACTTTCGAACCAAATGTCTGAAATTTCTTTTTATGAAAATCACGACGTTTGGTTGTGTAGACTGTTTAGGATAAAAATTAAGGTGATTCGAATGGACAGTGGTTCCAATTCATAGTTTAAATATCCCACTAAACGTTCGATATTCATGATTAGAACTTTCAAATAGTTTTGTTTCCATTAATAGTTAGGACCAAGTTGCCGTCATGAAACAACATTAACCCGTTATCAGTTTACTGTAGTTTATAATCCAAACGAAAACAGATTAATAATAAACGAAAACAGTTTAACATTGAAATATTGTTGCTTAGATTCTCCATCATCATTTGCCACTTGTCTTTCCTTTTTTAAAGAAACAGAGAGCTGAAAGGAGTGAAACAGCCTTAAAGATTATATTTAATGTATGAGCAAGAATAACACAATAGAACAACACATATCATTTTGATTGTTTTAAGGTAATAGAAATTTATCTTTAATTGAGTTTATTCATCTTGAGGCTTTTTCACTTTTGCTTCAGTTTTTGATTTAACATTAACAACATGCTCACTTTCATCATCCACATTTGGCATATCTGGACGATCCTTCTTCTTCCTATTTACATAAACAGGACGTCCATAGATAATTTCTGATAATACTCTAATGACTCTGTCCAAGGATTTCATGAATGGATGACGGAATAAACTGCCAAGGATTTTAAGGAACTTTTGATATTTGTAGGTTTGGATGAAATAGGAATCGAATACGGAATTCAAAGTTTCCTTTCTCCAACAATCATATAGAGCTTGATAGTTTTGAGCCCATTGAATTCCAAAGTCATCGAGTAATGTCTTGATTGAGGAATCCATATATGGATGATAGAATGTTGATTCCTTAAAACATTTCTCAACTATCAAACTTGAACGGATCTTTTTCAAATCCTTGACAATTTGCTCAACTTCACGAGTTGCTGCATGTTTGGTGGAAAATCCATTTTCAGCTTTCAAAAGTTTGATGTTTTTGTGTTTGTACAAGTCAATGAGGAAAGAATTCAATTTGGAAAATTCCAAATCTTGAAGTGGAATAGTTGTCTTGTTAAGACAAATGTTGTGGTTGAGTGTTTGGAGGAAGTGATCAACACTCTTGTAATGACCATCCATGTTACCACTGAGAGCAGCGAAGGATGAAATGGAAAGGTTGTTTCTAATACAGTGGGATGATAAGTGCTTGATGAGTGGAATATTGTGTAAATCAGATTCGAATTCACTTTCGTCCAAGACGAATTTCTTAGTGACTGGTTCATTCACTTGCTGTTCAGATTCAACTGGTTCAGTTTCTTCAACATCAAAAGATTCCCAATCGTCATCTCCACCTCCAACATTCTCTTCCTTGGTTTCATTTGAACTGTTAGCATTTGATTTCAATATTCTCAACTTTTTGAAATTTCCATGATTACTCAAAGGCAAATGAACATCCTCCAATTCATCTTGCTTATCTACAGCATAAACAGATGCAAAATTACTAAAGATAGAAAGTGCCATGTCGTTGTGAGATTTTACATGCTCAGCCATTTCTCTGAAAATTGATCCCTCTTCCATATTTTCCTCTCCCAATTGAATGGTATGTTTCTTATTAAAATATGATCCCACAACACTTCTATACATTAAATAGGTGACTATCTTTAACAATAACAAATCTTGTTCAGTATCACTGTAAACTTGCTTAAACTGTTCAAAGAATTTGAATTTCACTAAATGTGGAATTGTGAATGCCTTCTCATTGAGATAGAATAAATGAGTTACCAATCCACTCAAACTCAAAGGTTCACAATTTCCATTCAAAAACTCAGTTTGGAAAAGGTACTCAGAATTGAAAAGGAATAAATGTTTCATCTGCTTGGCAGCTCTATCGACCAAATTCTTATCCAATGAGAAGAGAGGTTTATCTAACAATCTCTTGATTCCTTCCTCGATTGAGGAATTGTTTCCTTGTTGAGATAAACTGGAGAATAATCTGAGAGTGAAACTTGTTGGGAAACCTTGAGATCCATTGACAAGGACTGGAGGGGAGAGGAGGTATCTTCTTTGCAATGGAGTATTGAATCCACACAGAATGACTCTTCCCTTATTATCAAATCCTCTTCTACCAGCTCTACCACAAGCTTGTTTGAATAAACTATTTGAATAGAAAGGTGAGAAACCACAAATTACTACAGTCTTACAAGGCATGTTAACACCCAAAGCTAAAGTTGAAGTGGAGAAAATAAGTGGAATATCTCCAATTCTAAACAATCTTTCAACTTCAATTTGATAATTTTCGTCCATAGCTGCATAGTGACATGCCAAACCAACTTTTAATGCTCTAAAGTGTAGTTCTTCAACTTCAAAGTCACAGTTTCCCTCTTCAATGGATGAAACAAGTTGTGAGATTGTTTTTGGGATTTTCCCATCTTTCCACAAGTTAGTTTGGTTAGTTTCTAAATAATTGACAAGATATTCTAAATAATCATTGATCAGAGTTCTGTTGAATGCAAAGGAAATAGAAGGGAGCATGTTTTCATTCTTCATTTGCATGACAAGGTTGATAATTTCCTCTTCGTGAAGCTTCTCTGATCTTTCGGTTGTTGAAATAAGCGATAAATGGTAAAAGTGTTGAATAATCTTGCAGATATTATCATGATTATTATCGTCTTGTCCCTTTTCAATCAAATATTCATGAACCTTTCTTCTATAATTAATGGAATCTGCCCATTTGAATGGTTCTAACAAATCTGATTTCAAACCAATCTGTACAATCTCTGTAAACCATGAAGGTATTTCCTTCTCTAAATATTGAGTCAATTCGAGGCATTCCTTCATGGACATACCATTCAACAACTCCAATTCTTGTTTCAAATTATTTACATTTACCAAAGCCAAAGGATGGACATGGATACACTTGCCTTCATTATCGTTATTAAAATTATAATATTCCAAAGGATTGAAACGTTTGTAATCTTCAAGATGGACAGTTTCAACAATTTGTCTCTTTCCATGTTTCATCCATTCTGCCAATTCATTTCTGTTATCCAAAGTTGCAGATAAACCAAGAATTGGGCAATCCAGGAATTGAATAATATGTTCATAGTATTGAGACTGATCACCATCAAAAGCTGAGTGGATTTCGTCGATAATTAAATACTTGATCCTTGATTTCCAATTATTTTCCTGACTGCTCATCAAATAAATTTCCAACATGGCAGGTGTGATAATTAATACTTGAGAAGTGAATTCATTAATTCTCTTGGAAGCTGTTGCCATGCCTACAAGATTATTTCTTTCAAATCGACTGGAAATTTCACAATAAATTTGGTTGACCAATGCTTTGGTTGGAACAATGAAGCAAATAACATCTGTTGAAGATTCTCTCAATACTTTCTCGATTAAATAGAAGCAAATGAATGTTTTACCTTGTGAGGTAGGTACATTACATAAAACTGAGACATTTTCCTTGTTGACATGGTTGATGAGTTCTTCTTGCCACTCATCAGGAATAAAGTCCATATCTTCTCTCATTCTTTGACGAATCTTGAAAGCTCTGTATTCCTCTGGTGTCATTCTACTTAAATCTGTATCATCTTCAAGTGCATTCAATACTCGTTGCAAGGAAAATTGTTGAGGATGTGGAATGAAAAAGGAATTCAATTCACAAGTTTCCTTGTACATTTGAATAATGTCAATAGAATCCTTTTCACTTCTTTGTTTCAATTTCAAAGACTTTCTTTGGATAATTTCATTTCCAGATGAGAAGAGCTTGAATCTGAAGCATTCATTGACAAGCTTTTCAAATAAAATACCAACCTTGACCTTTGGCAAGTTTAAGGAATATTCTTCAAGGAACGAGTAGATGAATCTAACCCAAATACCAACTTGAATTAAATCGTCCTTGTTGGCTTGAATTAATTCCAATTGAGCAAATAAAGTCAAGGAAAGCAACTCAAAAACTTGCTTGATTCCATTATCAACATCTGAAGCTTCAGTCTTAACAATCTTTCTTTCCAATCTCTTCAAATAAACAAGTTCTTCGAATATGCTACTTGACAAAGCCAACATGGCTTTGGAAGAATTGATCTGTGACATTTCTTCTTTCCATCCATCAATTCTCTTTGGTAGAGTAGCTTTAAAGTAGTTAGCTTTCTTTTGAACTGTTTTGATTTCTTCCTTGATATCCTTAGATGTGTATTGCTCAGCAACAACAACTCTCTTCTTTGGTCTATCAAAAGATGCAATTAATTTGGCAAGTGAAGTTGATGTTTCATCAGATTTTCTAGGTTCTGGAACTGATGAAATCTTTTCAGTGTTGTGGTAATGATATTCATCTTTGAAAACTTTCTTGTTGGAGTTTCTTTCAATAATAGATTCTGGAATGTCAAATAACTCGCTCATGAAACGATTGCTGATTGGTAAAACTTGATGATCGTTCTCGAATTCATATTGGAATGAGGAAGAGGTTGGAATTTGTTGCATGGTTTCTAATAAATTGGCCTGGCTTTCACCTAATCCTAATCTAGAAACAATTTCCTTATATTGGCTTTGAAGATGCTCTGGAAGAGTAAATTCATTTTGCTTTGTTTGAATCATCCAAAGCAAGATTGAGTGTGCCAATCTACCATCCAACAAATCATCACTTCCTTCAATATAATCTTCATGATGATAAGCAATTTCGAACAACTTTCCATAAAATCTTTGAATAAACTCATTCAATTCAGCAACTGCAAAGTCAACTTTTTGATATCTATAATTGAGTGGCAAGTATCCTTGCAATAATTTAGTAATCACTATAACCTTGGCAAGTAAATGATCCAAATTACTGGACAAGCTATCAGTAATTGCTTTTTCGAACAGTTGGATGACTGACATTTTACCAATTTCCATAGGAGTAGAATTAATTACAAGACCGTCAATATCAAAAGTGATTCTTCTTCTTTCTTTAGTTCTTAAGTAAAACATTCTTCCATTAATTGCTGAACCTTCTCCTGTAATACCAGAAACCAATGGAATTGAACAATAATTCAACAGTAAGGCCAACAAGTCTCTATTGTAAGATGATATTACAATAGAATTAACATTCACACTTTCGCTTAACTTTCTAAACTCTTCAAAATTTTCATAAATATTTTCATGCATTACAAAACAGGAATGTCTCTTTTTAAGTTCTGGATTTTCATCAATGGACTTTTTCAAGTGGTAGAATAACAAGTGACGAAGCAATCTCTTGGAATTCAATTCTTCCTTTCCTCTGGCAATTGGATCATTACCTTTCAGATAAAGTAATTGAAAACCAACTCCACTCTTTCTCCATTCTCTCAATTTAGCTTCACAATAAAAGAACATATGAAGCCATTGACCACCATGATCATTCCAATCAATACCACTTATTTCGCTTTCATAAATTGCTTGATCAATTAAACTATCAATATCGACCAATACAAAGCTCGAACCACACTCATCCAAGAATCGAACATTTCTCTCGCCAATGACGCCAAAAACATCCTTTCTATCTTGATTATTGCCATTTCCTTCATAATCATGATCCTTAATTTTCTGAGCATCTTCCGAAGGTTGTTGTTGATTATTATTATGATTGGGTAACATTTTCAGTACTATTCTTTTTGAATATTTTATAATTTGTATTATTAATTATTTAATTTGTTGTTGTTGTTGTTGTATTTTTTTTAAAGTGAATAAATCGAGTGTTTGCTTTTTTTTGAATATTCAGAGATATTTTTAGCTTAGGAATTCATTTCAATGAAGAGTTTGAATCAAAAATAAAAAATTCGGATCATTGATGGATTGGATGAATTTTGAGATTGAAAAACGAGGTCCCTCTAACATGGTGGCATCTATTTATGTTGTAGCTGGAATTACTTGAATATTTACACTCACAATTCAAATGGTTTATTTCAAAATCGAATGGATATTAATATCATAATATTATTCAGAATTATTCTCACTATCATCTCTGATATCATACTTAGTTGGCTGTTCAATGTTTGGATAAAGTGCAGCAATTTTCTTGTTTAATTTTGGATTATCCTCGAGCCAATCAAAACGTTTCAAGTTGGGAGCAACAATTTTCAAAGATTGAGCTAATTTGTCCATTTGTTCTTCATTTTCAAATTCATACGAGTTACCAATTCCAACAAATTCCAATCTTTCATTTGAATTTCCGCCAAAATACAAATCTTCATGTTGCGCTGTAACACCAACATAGATATTGTTTCGTCCAACATTGAAATATCTCAAATTGGGGAAATTTCCAAGTTTTTGAAGGCAAGATCCTGAAATTTCACACGCAGCTGGAATATCTATATATTCCAAATTTGGTAGTTTCTCTAAAAAATTGATTATTCCACTATCTGAAATAGATGCTTCAAAAGATGAACCAGAATCTGAACATTTCAAAGAAAATTTCTTCAATTTTGGACAAGTTTCTGCCAAAACCTCTAAATGTCTATCAGTGAAATCATCTTCATAAATAAAATGAAATTCTTCCAAGTTGGGACAAAGTAAAAGAAAGCTCAATAAGTAATCTGCATAGTCATAATCTAAAACAAGACTAATACTTTTCAAATTGTTTAGAATTGGAACTTTGGCAATCTTTTCATCAAAACTTTCGCCCTTTTCAATTTCAAGCGTTTTTTGATGCATGTCATTAACATGATAATTTTGTGGAATTTCCAAACTTTGTAAATCTCTAAAATTCGTCAATATTTTCAACATTGATTTTGGATTTAAACACCAATGAAGCACAATGCTTTTCACATTGAAACCATTTGCTGGACCACTGAGAGAAATTCTCTCTTTCTTCACATTGGAAAGAGATTTAAAATCTTTAAATGAAACTCTATTCGAAAATTCGATTGGAATACTTTCTATTTCAATGGGTGTGAGTTTTCCATCAGAATTTAACATTCTTGTATTGGTAATTTTGAATAGCGTTTCCCAATCTTCAGTTGAATCGATCAAATCAGATAATTCACCCAAAGAAACATTATTAGAAATACAATATTCCTTCACTTGTTCAGAATTTTCCGAATTTAACACCAATTTGTTTTTTTGTCTATTAATTTAACATCCAGTCAAGCAAATGTAAACAGTGTTAATCCATTGTATATCCATTGATTGAACTTACTTGAGAGCATTCACCAAAGAGAAAGGTTTCGTTTTAGTTTCAATAAAATGTTTACAAACAACTTCCTTCACATAACTAATCATCCAATCAAAATTTTGCTTGGAAGTCAAAGCCCACATTAAAATACTTTCCGTTGGTAAATATTCAATAATAACAGACCATTCATCCATTGAAAGATTAGTGTTGAAAGTTGATGGTAAAGTTTTGACTTTTTTCGCTGAGTGAAAGCTTTCGTCCAGTTTATCTTGTGATCTTTTCATTTTTTTTAAATATCAAATCCTTGTTTACGTGGAAATTAGTAAAACATTGTTTTTTTCGTTTGTGAAAGTTGGAAGATTATAATAGCGCACAACACACTATGGTTTTTGTAAAGTTTAAAAGGCCAATTTTGGAACACCTCAGTCCCTTCTTCAAAAAGTTGTAAATCTTTCCCCCTTTGATTGAGTTGATTTGTTAACAATGAAAATCCAAAAAAAAATACTCCAACATTTGTTTTTAACATGGGTCAATCACAGAAACCAATAGCAGCTCCACAATCTGCAGAAACCACCCATCACCACAACTCCAAGGATCCTCCTAAATATTCATTGTGCACTCGGAAAGAACATGAAAATTTCATCAAATTAATTGCAATTAAATCTTCCACTACTACCACCATAGAAAACAATTCCTTCAAGTTAAATGATGAAGAAAATTCGCAATTTTACCTCCGAACAGTGCTGATCAGAGAGGAAAATAAATCGTGGTTGGAGAGGGAGCTACCCATTGAAATAATATTCGAAATATTGAGATATTTGCTACCTGATGATTTGATAATCTTGTCGGGAGTGAGTTGGAATTTCAGAGAGGTGTGGACAGAGCATCCATTCTTGTGGTTCTCTCCATTGGAAAGTGGTGAGAATTATGGGAAATCACTCATGTCCAGAAAGTTAGTGGAAGATTTCATCAATAATTCAAATAATCTTGTTGCAAATTGGAAACAAATATATCTTCAGATTGGAAATGTAATGATGTATCCGAAAAGTTTCTCAAATTTTGCAGATCAATGTGTCTATGGAAGAATCTATGGAGAATATAACACCATTCAAAAAATTGGATTTATTGGAATGAAAGGATGTGGAAAATCAACTTTTTGTAAATTACTGGCCACTAACAAGTTGGATTTGCAAATGAAATCGACAATTGGTTGTGATTTTTACATTCAATATTTGAATCTGGACTTGGAGGAGAATAATCAACTTATCAAGTATTGCTTCAAGCTCGAAATTTGGGATGTAAGCGAAATGTTCAGATCAGTTTACAGAGGTTTGCATGTAATATATTTTTGTTTTGATCTTTCGAATGAGGAGAGCTTATATCATATGATAAACATGTTCAAGGATTGCTGTACCAATGATTTGTACATTAATGACCTATCCAATCTTGAGAATGAATTGGATACAGATATTGTATTTCTAGGACTGAAGAAGGATAGCAAAACAATATCGAATCATACCATTAACAATTGTATATATCCTTTCATTGACAGGAATGTGCCTTATCATCAAAGACGAGTTTCATATTTTGAGGTTAGTGCCAAAGAACAGGATAGGACAACTTTCTATCCAGTATCTCACATTGGATTTTTACCATCAAAGAGAGAACATTGTTTCCCACTCACTCCACTCACAAAGGATAATGAAGAAAGATTTAGGAATTATGGAGCTTTGGATTAGTTCCAAATATTTGGAAAATTTAAATATCCTATGGAATTCTATCAGACTATTCCAGAAATTTTGGCACAAGGAAAAGAGCTATCAGACAAAGAAATAACATCAATTTAATTTTTATTTAATTATTGATGTATCTTAAAGAATTTTCCTTGAAATTTACAATTGGTGGAAAACTCATTCGTATATTTGATGATAAAAAGCTGTGATGAAGTGAAAGATCCACAACTCTATAGACAGTTGTAGGTAGATAAAATTTTGTCCCCAAAAATTTTTTGGCCAAGTCGAAACTCCAGCCATTTTTCGCTTGCGATTTTAAAAAATGTTACAAGTCGAGAATAAACCGTTACATTAGTTGGCGCCACGAAAGAAGACGTTACACTTCATCAAAATAAACTTTAGTTTCATCAAACAAAAAAAACCAAACTACTTCAACAATGAAGTACCTCTCTTCACTTTTTGGTTGTTTTCCAACACAGGATTTCACTATTGGTGCAACAACAACATCTTGAGAAATAACATTGTCCTCCAACAATTTTCTTCATGTCCCGTTTTGTTGTCCCCAAGCCAAGCCTTTTAGACTTGTAAAAATTTTTGGTCAGAGCAACAAATGTCCATTACCTACAACTGTCTACAACTCTATGGAAGTGTTTGCATTTGTGTTTGATTGTGGTAGAACATTCAGTCAACATGATTCAATCATTCTTGATACATTTCTCTTTTGAGGTTCAAATTTCCAATTTTGAATATTTACATAATAGCACATGTTTTTCTTTGCTTTTTCTTTTCTTGTTTTGGTTCTGGTTTAGTTTTTCTAATTTCTCTAATTAATGTTCCAAATGCTTCATCCACATTCAATCTCTGTCTTGCTGAAGATTCCAATAGTGGAATACCAAGCTCTTTGGCATACATTTTGGCCTTCTCCACTTTTACTGACCTTTCGGATTCCAAATCACATTTGTTTCCAACTAATACCATTGGACACTTTTCACAATCTTTCACTCTGAGAATTTGTTCGTAGAATTCGTGAATTTCCTCAAACGACATTTTATCAATGATAGAATAAACCATGAGGAAACCATCTGCAGATCTCATATATTGATCTCTCAATGCTTGTAT